ACTACTTGTAAATTTTGCCACTATTTTAAAGAAATATTTTATATTTATCAAATCTTTGTCGCTTAAATTACATTTATACTTTTGATCTCATTTCTATATCATCTTAGATATACTTCTTCTATCCATTTTTTTAAAAATATTTTTCCCCAACAGTATTCTCCTTAAAAGTAGAATTTTTCTGATACTACTCACCACCAGGTGCTGGCCGCCCTCTCACATTAAATGTCATAATTTAAAATATTCTTAAATAAAGATGGTTTCTTGTAATATTATCAATCAAAAATATCAGCCTTACAAATTATATGACAAAATATAATTTTAAAAATGAAAGGTGTTCGTATCTCGGCTTTTAATCTTAATAATGTGAAGAGTATTGATTGTTAATGGTTTTATCATTCAATTTAAAATGTTTTTCAGTATTTGAATTTGTATTTGGAGCCTTTAAAGAGACATTTTTTTATTTGTTTGTTACTTCAATTCTATAAAATTGATTTTCTATAGTTTTGTTAAAATATTACCAGTGAAATTTTACCTTAATATGGCTTTGCCTTCCATATTTATGTTAATTTTATCAGTTTTCCTATACATTTTTATATTTCCGCTATCTTTAAATTTGAGACGACTAGTTTCAAAACAGGCTTAATTCAAATTTTTCACAAAATGTTTTTATTTTATTATATTTTCACAAATTTTCAATGCATCACTCCTAAGAAAAATGAATAATCAAATTATTGTCTCTATTCAATACAAGAAATGGTTAAATATCGAAATTACCTGGACCAAATAGGTATCATGCTTTAGGTGTCTTCTGTCAAATCTTTGAAAATGTAAACTAATTGTCTCAAATAAATTATTTATGTACATCCTTTCATAAGCAGTGTTTTTATATTTATTTATTAAGTCTGCTTTACCTTATAATAAATATCTCATTGTATATTTTCTTAAAACGCTTTTTTGTTAATAAATTCCTAACTCATATAACATAGAAATGAAAAAAAAAGTTATTTTGTTGTTATTAGTTGAATTATTGTTTGAATAAATTGTTTTAGAGACAAACTAAAATATATGTAAAATATATATATGCTTTTTCCAGTGTGAATTTTTATTTTTTGCCCTGTGATGTCACCTTTTTTACTACCTTAGCAATACTCAGTAAGAATCTTCTAAATTTCATTTATCCAATCGAGAATAATTTCTTTATACTACACATCCATATGAAGTAAATTTATCTTCCTGGTTCTGTTATTATTATATGAAACTCTTATGAACTCCTCCTCAATCTACCCTTTTAATATTTCTTTTTTTTAAAAAAAAAAAAGAAAGAATTAGATTGTTCTTGTGATGATAGGTTACTAACAGGTTAAGATTCCCAAACAAAGCCTCCTGTCTCTCAACCAGCAGTACGTCTATGTTTCACCAACGTAGGCAACAAAATCTCTGGATTAACCTAGGGGCAGACACACAACTGCAGTTTTATTTAATCTAATTTTTCTCTCATTTTGTAAAAGATTCAGTTTTTTCTTTGATTCTATTGGTTAAAGGCACTAATTATTTACACATTCGATGATTTTTTCATTCTTGTCCAAGTCTGTTTTACAGATATCAATTATATGTTTTACCAAAATGCCATAAAGTTTTTGAATTTATAAAAATCTTCAGATATTGCACAGTTTTTATTTATCTATTGATTTAGAAAATTCTCAGTTTTTATTTTTGTCTTGCCAATCCCATATTTGTCACATTCATTTTATATTTTCTTGGTGTTACACATCCTTTCTTATTCATTGTTACACTCTGAATAAGAAAGAACAATGAATAAGAAAGGATGTGTAACACCAAAAAAATATAAAATGAATGCGACAAATATTTGAATTTTTGACAAATGGCGTCACATCAAAAAAGCAAGTTTTAGTGAATATAAGGATTGCTCTGATGATGGGAAAATTGTCCCGAAACGTTAAGAGATAATAAATGTGATTAAAGGGATTGAAGGAAATTGGAAATATTTTTGCCTTAACTATGAAAAAATATATAAATGTAGGCTTCCTAAAAAAAGAAAAATAAGAAGATAGCTAATCTTCAGTAAATCAAGAAACCAAATATGGTCAACAGTTTCGCTAAGTACGCCCTACAGCGCAATTGCAAATATCATAAAAGAATAAATCAAATGTTATTTCTACTTGGCATTTTTGTACATTTTTCATGTAAAATAAACAAGTTATACTAAAGTAATTCTTTTCTACAATTAAGATCTTTTTATGATAAAAAATAAATCAATTATATCAAAAGATAAACAAAGATTTGTCATTGCCTAGTAAGATAACATAACCTTTCATCTTATGGTAAGGACTAAAAGAGGTTGATCGGGAGCTAGGTAAATGCAAAACAAGTATCACTCCACCAGGCTGACCTTACACTTCATACAGATAATGTTTCACTTCTTAAACAGTATGTGTTAAACTGTTGAAATGATTAATGAAATACTTAGCCTATATCAATGTGATTTTCAGTCCAGATTATTGTTATCATTTATCCGAGGAACTCGAGGGTCCTCCAATTGAGGAAAGTTGGAAAATGTCAGAAATAATTAATTCACATTTTTACTGCTACATGCTCTATGATCGTTCTCCTAATGTTTCAAAAATTTATAAATCATTTCATTCAGTGCTACTAAATTCTATTATTTTACTTTGTGATTCTTTAATCTAAATATATTTTGTTTTTATTACTGATCGCACAAGCCATTCTATTTTTTTTTTTTTTTCCAAAAATGGATACAGTTGTTACTGCCTGAAGTTATAGATTTATAACACGTAAGTTAAAAACAATAATTTATATTAGCCACAGCATTAGCAGTGGTGTTAGCAATAATTGTCACTCAGCTGTTAATCATTAGATTGATAATAGGTGTTAAAGTTCATAACTAAAACCTTACGAGGACGATCTGAAAAGTTTCCGACCGCAATGTGAAGATGGTAGCACTCGTAAATAAAAGCAAGTGAATTTCCTTGTTCATCTATTGGCACTTACCCACCAAAGTTTCAGCCATTTTGGACACACAGTTTTTATACAGTTGTTTGAGTGAGTTGATGTATGTTTTTGTGAAAATGGACAAAATCGAGTATTGAGCTGTCATTAAATATTTGGTTTTGAATGGCAATAAGCCTACGCAAATCAAAGATGAGTTGGATTCCGCAACATCATTTACCCCATACTGCTGAAATTTTGAGCAGTTGAATTTAAACGTGGCCATAAGAGCTTGGGAGATGATGAACGTTCAGAATGTCCAAAAACTGCAACTACCTACGAAAACATCGCCCAAGTTCACCAAATGGTGCTAGGCGACTGCCAAATTAAAGTGAGAGAGATAGCAGAGGTTATGAACATGTCAAAAGAACGTGTTACACATTAAACCAACATTTAGGCATGATAAAGCTGTCTGCACGTTGGGTACTGCCTTTGCTTACATTAGACCAAAAATGTATTCGAATGAACATTTCCAATGCTCTGTTGGCTCAGTAAATCCGAGTTTTGCCGCCGATTATTTACTGTAGATGAGACTTGGATAAACCATAATAAAAAAAATACAGTCCAAACAGTGGCCTGCAAAGGGGGAACCGGCTCCAAAAAAGCAAAAACTGTTTTCTCGGCTGAGAAAGTGATGGCGACTGTTTTTTGGGATAGTCATGAAGTTATTTTAATAGATTATCTTCAAAAAAGAAAAAACATTACAGAAGCATATTACGCATCATTATTTGACAAGCTGAAGGCAGAACTTGAGGAAAAACGGCCACATTTGCAGAAAATGCACAGTCTCACACCTCAGAGGTTGCCTTGGCGAAAATCCACGAATTACGGTTTGAACTGTTTGACCATACACCTTACTCACCATATCTAGCCTCAAGCGACTTCTTTTGTTCACTTATCTAAAAATTGCGCTCGGAGAACAGAGATTTTCGTCAAATGAAGAGGTGATCACCTTCGTGAACAATTATTTTTCAGAGTACTTTTTGGATGGGTTACAACGATGGAAGCATCGCTGGTAGAAGGAAGTGTGTAGAGTTACAAGGAGACTGTCAAAAAATAAAAAAATAAATTCAGAAAAAATGTCTTGTATTTTTGTTAGGTCGGAAACTTTTCAGACCACCCTTGTATGTCACCATATAGTTTAAAGAATCTGTAACACACCTTTGAAAAGGTAATCCAATTTTAAATACAACAGTAGATAGTCTGTGGTGTCTATTCTTAAGTTAAGTTAAATAAAGCTAGAAAATGGATAAAATCAGAAATATAGTAGAAAAATAAACACAAGAATAATCACGAGGAATAAGAAATAATTTATTTTCTTCCATTTAATAGTGTGTACAGATATTATTACTAACAAAGTCTTCTTAAAAACATTCTGTAACTTCCCGAGTCAAACAAATCAAACCAGTAAACAAATCTATTATTTACTATTTCTAGATATGTAAATTCAACTTTAATGCAAAACTAGAATTATGTTTTGGTAATCCTTATAAAGCAAGTTTAAAAAGAAGTAAAGTGTATTTTTTTACACATAAGATATTTCATAAAACATCAAAATTGATTATCTTCAAATTAGTAAATGAAACTAAAAAAAAAAAAAAAAATTGTGCGTAGATTTAACAGAACCAGAATATAAAAATAAAATGCCATATATCACCATCATACTTCATTTGTTCTTATCAAACTAAATATTACATTGGAATGAAACTGTTATCCATTGCTCACGATTGTCAAATTCATATTACTAATTTATTTGTATAAATCAAAATGAATCTGGATAAAAAATATCTATTTTCAAAAGGAAAAAGATTTTAAAATTATGATTAACTTATAGCTTGTTCTGACTTGAAGATTTATAACCTTTTTTTTTTATGATTGATCCTGAATTTATAAGAAATTATCAATTTTATAAGGAAAAACCTGATATATCTTGATTTGATATTTTGCTAAAAAAAAAAAAAAAAAAAAAAAAAAAAAAAAACAGCTAGGCAACAAAAATAGCATTTTAAAAGAAAGAATAATTTTTAAAAAATTAGGGAAAAATAACTCAAGAGTTTTACTCTCTGTTTAAATGAAGACAATGGATAACATGTACAGAATCTTATATGCTGTATGAACTAATTCTTCTCTAGTGGGGAAAAACAAAGTTAGATTTTTATCACATCTAATTTAGACAATCATAACTAGAAGCTCAAAAAATAAGAACACAGATAAAACTATAGATATTTAGTTTTATCTGAAACCCAGTTTCATAAAATACAAATAAAAGGAATTTTTTTCCTTAAGGCATTATTTTAATCACATCAAAACATTATGAAACTACAAATAATCAAATTTAATTGATTAACTAAAAGCTGCCCACCTTTTAAAAGGATTTAAATGTAAAGGATATAATAAGATGGATATATATTATTTAAAATGGCTCCTTTAAAGAAAACCAACATCCAAGTACTAAGAAGAAGAAGATAAGTTACTTATGAAGATTAGTGGAAAGTTTTTTGACAGGTGAGAGAAATCTTAGAACTTCTCTAATATCACCCTCTTTGGCTTCTACGACTAGATTCAGCCATTCTTTCTTTTCAAATCCTAATGTGTGCAGCATCATGATTGATTCTTCATAAGGACCTGAAATTAATTAATTGTTTAAACAAAATTATTAATTTTCAAAATGTAATAATCTACATGAATCTATATTAATGGTTATTTTTTAAAGAAAATACAGTAGTAGCCCTCAGGCTTCCTGCGAATCTCCAGCAATTTGAAAAACTATTTAAGTTCATTTTATTTACTTAAAACTTAAAAGGAGGACTTCCTAATTTACAATTTCTTGCAATGTTTATTTAATTTATTGTTTAAAAAAAATATTCAGCGAGTAGCGATGACAGAACTGTGATGAGAGATGAGAATCGGCACACTGTTAATATCATAAAAGAAGTCTGCCAAGTAGATCAATATAGCTTCTTCACCATTTCTATTAGGTGCTTGCATGTATTTTGATAATTTTTTCACTTTAAAAAGGCATTTATTGAGAAACATTGGTATAATATATATCAATCAAAATATTTACTATCATTTTCTACTAATTACCATCTTTCTGGCAGCAAAATGCTGAATACTGTGTCAAAAGAACAATTTTGGTTTGGCAGCAATCCAATCAATCCATTTTTGCACTTCTTCAGCATTTCGAAAATGTGTGCCGGCCAAACCATGTTGCATCAATCTGAACAGATGGTAATCAACAACAAGATATAATGTCTGGTGAGTGCAAGGTTCCTATTCCAGCTGCAACAGTGTATCCTTCACAACTCTTGTGAACTTGCGTTTGTTACTCGCTATTGCTGATCTTTTTTTTTCCAACAATAAACCATTCAATTTGTTCAATTGACGTCACCCACAACAAGACTTTAAGGCCATGAATATTCTTTTGTCTCGATTTGGAAGACTTTTCTGGATCAACCCATGACTTTTTGTGCTTGGAATTGTAATAGATCTATTTTTAGCTACTGTTTTGCTGGTACTGCTCACGGCAGCAATTCCATATTGCCAACTGTTGATGCTTGTCTATTTCGCTGAAACTGTTCACCATCATGGCCAAATCCTCTTAACTTACCACCCGAGTTGGAAATAATTTTAAATAAAAACATTAGACTGAAATTTTATAATTTTTATTTGTATTGGAAGGATAACAAAACATATGATGGCGAAGTTTCGATCTTATTTAATTAATACATGTCACATTCTCTGGTAAAGTTGAATAACAAGTTCGGTTACAACTTACTATAAAATGTTAACAATTATCTACATGTTAATGCCCACCATCATCGCCACAAAAACTCCTTTTTCCAACAAAAAACTTTTCTTCCTGGCAAGCACTGAAACCGCCGCGATGTTGAAACGGTTCGTAAAGGCATTTTTAGGCAATTTGTGTGGTAGCCATTTTCTCTCATTTGGATCTTTCGCATTACATTCAAACATCTGGAAACAGTCTATTTATCAACTGGAAAGTTGTCTGAAAGTTCTTTGAGAGTTTGAGCTGGGTTTTCATATGATGAGTCTTGCAATTGATTGTCTTCGAATTTTTTTTGGTCCTCTAGGCCTTTCTTTGCCATCGACATCAAAATCAACACTTTTAAATCAAAACCAAAATCGACAATTGGAATATGATGGAGCAGCATTACCATAAATTTCTAAAAGTATCTGATGGGCTTTGGCAGCAGTTAATGAATGTCGAAAAATATTATTTGGAACATTCTACGATTGAGTTCTTAATACACTGAATAACTTAATTATACTAAGTGGAAAACTTTCAAAATGATAAAAATACTAATAACCATATGCTAATATCCAAAACCATTGTTTATATATAGATACTTCGTATGTTTACGAATAGATATAGCTGATTAAAATACTTAGAAGCACCTAATATTAGTTACATAATTACCTATATTTCAAGGTCTATAACTTATTGTTGGGAAATTAAATCTACAGAAGCCTTTTTCAAAGTATAGTCTTGTCAAGGAAAAACTCACAGAGACTAGAATACAGACAGAGATTAACAAAATTGTTTTTTCATAGCATTTATATTCTTACTAATCACAGTGGATGTAAAAAATATTGGAAAACCTAGTAATAATTATAACAGTATTTTCTTGTGTTCTTTTTATACCAAACTATTAGAACTCGGCACCTTTCTTACACACCACAAAGCCTGTATATTCCATACTCTTATGGATATAATCCCATCACACCCAGTCTTGTTCTTCTGACTTCTATCCACCTCCTTATCGAACTGCTGCATATGACAAGTCTTTACTTGAGCTGCCTCTTTCTGGCAGAACTCAATCTCTCACACCATTCATCATGCTTTAACTGTCTCCTCATTCAAATTCCTTCTTTTCAACAACCTTTTCCTTGCCCAGTCTAATTGATATTATTTCATAGGAAATTTCTTTTCTTTTTCTTGTATTTTTTTTTTTCAATTTATTTATTTATTGTAGTTTTGTTGATCTAGTTACTGTTTGAATTTTCCTTTCCTTTATGCTATATTTTTATTAATAGTTATGAATACGAATCAACTTTTAGTGTAAAACATTACAGCCACTAAGTAATGTTATTTTAATCTTGTTCTAAAGAGACTTGGTTCCAGAACAATAAAGAATTTTTTTGAGTACTAAGGTTGTATAATGTTGAGAAAGATGGTCTGGGGTAAAAAACTTAAAATAGTAAAAAGTATTAAATTTTTTTCTTCTTTTTTTTTATGACTGTCATCCTAGACCATTTCCTTCCTCAAAAGAATTTTTTCATTTCAAAATTAAAGTTTGAATTTTCACGATTTCAAAAAAATCATTAACATTAATCTTTTTTACTTTTAAATAGAAAACATGAATACCAAATAATAGAGAAAATTTAGCAATAGAAGGCCCATTTCTATGACCTGGATAACACTAAAACCACAAATTGATACATATATCAATCTTTATAGATATACAAAAATAAATAAATCAAAATGCTATGAACTTCCTTTGCATTTGGCTACAAGACTCTGTTAACTGATATACAGGGTGTCCCGTAAGTGGAGGGAAATTTTTACTTTCACTTACGTATATATGTAATATATAGTAAGAGTAAGTATTGCGATTGTGAAAATTTTCGAATCTCAGTTTTCAATGGAAATACATGTTTTGAGGTCCCCTGAGTTCAAATAACCAAGTGTCGCAAAATGGTGTGTGTGTGTGTTAACAGTCTAGCTCATAAACGAAAAGTAGTACGAAACTGATATTAAGTATTTAAGGTTTGTATATGGGCCGGATTTGACAGCAACTTTTTCGTTAAAATCGGATAACTGGAAGTGCCACTTCATATGAACGCTAAAACACATTTTTACAATTTTCTCAAAAACGGCTCTAACGATTTTGATCAAACTCGGTGTATCATTGTATAATTAAGTGGTCTTTAATATCATTTAGGTCTTATCCCCGTTGATGTCACTTTACAGGGCTTAAATGCCCAATGTTCATATATGTCTTCCTCTAAAGTACCTTTAATATGGTTTATTTTAAAAAGTTAACCATTTCGCATTATTCAGAGTTATGAAAAAATACTACATATAACTTTTGAAAGAATTCGATAAATTAATAAAGGAGAAAAAAATAAAAATGCAGAAAAACCTGCGTTCCTACAGACTGTAGCGCCTAAACGAATGTACCGATTTCAATGAAACTTCGCTAAAGTCATTTTCTCGATACCTTTTAAATTTATATATACTTCAACGAAAAGAAGCTGGAAAAAAAGTTACGAGGGATGTTAAAATTAAATTCCGAATAACTCAAAAAGTATACGCTTTTTTGGGGATATTGTATATGGTTTTTTAAAAGTTTATGGAATTTCCTAAAAAAACAACGTTAAAATCAGACAATTAGGAGGAAAGATATGGTCTCTAGTTTTTTCCCCTGAAGAGGTGAAAATTTAAATAAATTTAAAATATATTTTTTTAATTGTTGAGACTAAAAAACGTTTTGTCTACAGATATTTAATAAAGTGTCTTTCCTAAGAACATCTTTCATAAGAAAGTAGTACCTAAATTTATACTTTTATTCTCAGTTGTATATTTCAACACTGCAATCACCACTTCTGGAATCAACTTACTCATTGTCTGCATAGATAACTTTTTCAACTAAAATGACATCACTCAAAAATGTTGAAATTGGAGTTAGTCATTCTGTGGTTTATAAAATCAGATATAGTGAATTGATTTTTATTGCCTGTCTTCCATATATTAAATAGACATTTTTTAATTATAATAGTCTTAATGACTTGTTATCTGTAAGCTTTAAGCTTTAGTTCCGTTTAAAATGCACTTCAAAAAATTTTATAACAGCCCAGCATTGCCAGAAAATAATTTCTATTCAAAGTAGATCGGTAAGTGAAAGTTGTGTGTTGCGCGCACCAGATTTTTATAGGAGTGATGATAGCTGACTTCAAGGCCTACAAAAAAGTTCATACAAACAACGGGCCAATTCTCAGCAGAAAAGTAGGTGATCCAAGTTTAGTGTTTTTTTTTTAAGTGTCATACTCATTGATGAATAGGACGCGATAACTAAAGAAATATTTAATCTAAGTAGTTGACAATCGTTTCACTGTAAACTAGATTAAATTTTCTTCAAATAAAAATACAATTTGTCATTGTTAAAACCATTTAAAGAGGACTTTTGAGCGGCTGAGTTCTGTTTTTAGAAAACTCATGGATTATCACTATTTAACTACACTACAGATACCCCACTTTTAGGAAAACTTCATTGTTTAATAAGTTTCAAGTCCATATTAATTAAACTGAGGTTTATCAGGCAAATTCTTGAGATTAATCAAGTTGTGATTTTTCATCTTGTCACCTAAAAGTATCTGTGTTTACAACAAAATTGACTACTATTAGCTATTGCAAAGCTTTTATTTCTTGTCTTTCCATGATCTGAGATATATTATAATAAAAATAATTTCCTAAATGCATTTTTTATTTATAAATAAAAAAAAAATAATGATTTGTTAAATACTTTTCATGCAAAGTGTTTACGAACTTTCTCCCAGATCTCTGTCAAAGAAGATGATCCGTATTTATAAGTGTCAAATTTCATGTTTCTAGTCCTAAGATTTAAGTTTTTATGAAAATAATTGAAGGGAACAGCAGAGTTTTTTGTTTTAAACATAAATTTTAGGATCAGAAACATTAAATTTGTCACTTATAATTACAGATAAATTCCTATGACAGAGATTTGGAAGAACACAGTTTTGTAAATACTTAACATGGAAAATTATTATTTTAATTTATATATAAAAAGTGTATTTAGGCAATTATGTTTATTAAAATAAACCTCAGAGCATGTAAAAACAATAAATAAAATCTTTGCAGCAGTTAATTGTAGTCATTTTTGCTGAAAACATGAGCACTGTTGAGTGACTGGATAGAAATTGACATAATTTCTTTACACAACTTGAGGTGAATTTCAAGGATTTGCCAAATAAACCTCAATTTAATCAATGTGAACTTGAAGCTTATTAAACAAAGAAGTTTTTCTAAAAGTGGACTGTCAGTAGTATAGTTGAATAAGGATAAAAAAAATCGCCAATAATTTGTTTTGTTTTTTTTAAACAGAACTATGCCAAGTTTAACCGCTCAAAAGTTCTCTGTAAATGGTTTTAAGAATGACAAATTGTATTTTTATCTAGTATGAAGAAAATTTTATCTTGTTTACAATGAAACAATTGTCAATTACTTTAATTAAATATTTCTTTAGTTATAGCATCCTATTCACAAAAAAGCATGACTTTTCTTCTGAGAATTGGACCATTGTTTATATGAACTTTTTTGCAGGTCTTGAGGTCTACTATCACTCCTATAAAAATTTCTCTCTGTTTACAGGACACCCTGTATACGCCATTTCTTTTCTTACCCAATTTCTGAGTAGGCGATGAATCTGTTGGTTGAGAGGTTGATGCTGGTGACGCTTCAAAAGATTCTATTATATCAATGGAGTCAGAGCTGGTTACTGAAATATCTGTTTGCTCTAAAAGAGATTAAAAAAAAAAAAATAATAATAATAGGTATATGTATATATGTGAACTTATGTATATAATACTGTCCTACAAAAAAGTAATACTTAGTTTCCACACTGATTGTTTGAAAAAAAAAAACCTAATTATTAATCTAGTTGCCATCTTTTATATTTTCATCCCTTTGCGATGATCTGGTAATTTGCAGATTTCACAATTTCTTTTTCCACAAGGTTAATATTTTTAATAGTTTGAGTCGATTTACAAACAAGGGGGGAAAGAGGTGTTGAGTTTGCATGTTTAGAGCTTGTCTGAGATAAGTGGTTCACATGTGCAAGTCAGTGACTTTAAAAAAAAAAATAGAAAATATGTACGTCTTCATAACAAAAGGGATCCCAATAACAGAACATATCAATCAATAAATAATAATATTAAAGTTGGAACATTAATTTTCTTTGTTTTACTTGCTGAAAGTATAAAAAAAATATAAAATTACTTATTCAAAATCAAATTACCTATTATTCACATATAAATTAAAAAATATATCAATCATACCTCTTAAAAATTAAGTTTCTTTGTTAAAATTTATATTTTTATTATAATGTCACCTTTTAATGTATTTGTAGCTGCATTTTTTTCATTTATTTATTTAATTCCAAACCTTAGAAACTAATACATATATATATATATATATATATACAATTTAAATTTAATTTTAAAAAAATATATATGAAATATTTGCAATAACTTCAATTAAATGCCACTTACTTAATTTATTATATATTAAAAATAATACAAAATTCTTAAATTTTGTCTTGAAACAGTTATTTAGTTATAAAATAAAAAATGCACTGAAAGGTCAAAATTGTAAATATCTTTTATTATTTATACTGATTTATAATTGAACTGAATTAGAAAAACACAGTGAAAACTCTAGAATAAATAAACCACCATTGGTCCAATAGATCTGTCCATTACAGAATGGTTCTAAATTTCATTAATCTCAGACCAGATCATTGAAAAATTGTACATAGAAAGTGTTGTCAATCGGAGAGAGAGGTGTCCATTCATAAAGAGAGGTTTCACTGCGTTGTAATAATAAAATAAGATAAAAAAATTACCATTCCCGACAACCGACCAGGAGTTATCCAAAGAACCATCTTCTTCAATTGGAGGTGTGGTAAGACAAACAGGTATGTTGGTAGAATGGTCAAGAGAAGTATTATTCATTGAATCTTCAGCAGGGGCAGAAGCAATAAGTCTGGGTAGTGGAACAGGAGTGATAGCAGTAGGTGCACTAGGAGGAGCAACAGTATTGTTTAAAGCAATTGAAGATGTTGAAACAGGAATGGAAGTTGAAGCAGTTGGCATAAGAATAGCACTGACAGGAGGAGTAAGCTGGGCTTGAAGGACAGGAGTAGGATCAGCAGGAATAGGGGCTGCATCTATTTGGGATATGAATGGATTTAAAGGATTTGATCCAACTGGAAGTTCTGAACTAGTAGCTGCTTGTACAGTTGTTGTGAGAAACATATTGGCAGTAAATGGGCTTGAAGAAGTTACTAGCCTGTGTCCTCCACTTGTCTATAATAAGTAGCAAACTTCTATATTAATAGGAATAAAATTGTTGAAGAAATATACTTAATTCTTAAATATTTTAACTTAAGCCTTGTTAATCCCAAACTGCATTCATTGGGTACTGACATGGATTTGCACATTCTATTCCTCGATGAAGATTCGGTTATAACAATTCTATTTTTTTTTTTAAATCATACATAATCAAATATAATTAGGGTAAAAGTGGATACGGAGTTACATCACAAGAAAGGAGACAGATTATAACAAGGCCTGTCAGTGCCTGTCTCGTATCATTGATTGTCTCATACTTATTAGCTTATACTAGATTTTCCAGCATCAAAACTTCATTCCAAAAAATATCTTACCATTTTTTCTCTCACCATACCACCTCTAAATAAAATGATTTCATTTAAAATGTATTTTATTAGCTTTTAGAAATGGATGCTTATAAAGAAGAGCTAAGAGAGACACTTTGATAGCATCAAGTTTGGTAGCCGTAAACATCATTACTATGGACTAAGGCCACATCCCCAATCTCCACCACCACGAAATTGAATATTTCAAAATATTTAGCTAAATATGAATATTTTTTTATGATTTGAAAAATGCTATCTCAATTTCATTCATGTTATTGATCACTTTAATTCTATTGTAATTTAAATTTACCTGATTTTGGTTTATTATTTTCAATAATGGTCCATTGAAATCGTCCAAAAAATTTAAAAACTTAACTCCTCTCCTCAAAATTTGAGATTTCAAGTTTCAGGATACGTAGAATTCGAAAATAAAATAAAATGTTTTTCGTCCGTCCGTGCATTTTCTCCGAGACTACTGGACCAATTTTTTTCCTTTGGATTTGAAGTCAGAGGTTACCCGAGGATGATCCTCCTACATCAACGTCTCTATCCACCGTTTCCTTTCAAGATGGCGGCCGAAAAAACCTGTGTAGGTATAGACTGTAGTGCCTAAACGAATCTACTGATTTCAATGAAACTTGGCTAAAGTCTTCTTCTTGACACCCTTTAAATTTATCTGTATGACATACTTCAATGAAAAGTAGCTGGAAAAAAGTTACAAAACATGGCAAAATTAGATTTCCGTATAATTCAAAAAGTATACACAATTAAAAATTTACAAATTATCCCGAAAAAAATCTTTAAATCGGACAATTTGGAGCAAAGATATGGTGTCTACATATTTTTTGTATGTTCTACGGCAAAGGTTATATCCTTTGTTTTGGTTTTTGAAAGTGTTACTGAAGCAATGCTTTTATTTTTATTATTATTTTTTTTTTTTTAGCAAATTAATAATGATGAAAAAAAATTTAAATGTTACTTTAGATATATAATTGTTTGAAAATAATAAACCATTGTGTAATAATTTGTAATGTTTTTTTCCATGTAAGTACCCAATTAAAACAAACGTTGACAGACTTTTATTTTTCCACTAACATACAACATGGACTTCTTGTGCTTTTGTGAATCATAATTTTAGCAATTTAGATAATTATTTTGATATATCCTATGAATATTAATACTCATGATGACTGGGATCAACTATGGTCACTACCAAACATAAGTTTCAGGTTTGCAAACCAGTCGCATTAACAGATGAAGTGCTAGCAGCTGTTTTTATCTTCACTGTGGAAGAGTATAAACATAAATAACTCAGCCAGTTTGAGATTAAAAATATTGTCAGTTAATTGCAAAAAGTCATTGTTACATTTCATAAAAATAAAACACTTCAAGTACTTAAATGAATTGTTTCTCAGTGGCATCAGAACCATGTGAAGTTATCACCCACGGGAGGTCAAAGACAGTACATCATTGATTTCAAACAAATTTTTTTTTGTGATTCTACATTTAAATTTTTTTAGAAATATTTCCCAACTTTTGTTTCAATGATTCTCAGGAGCTTACAAAAAAGATCTTTTATATATTTTCGATCAATTAATGTTTGTGCCCAAATTTCTTGGTTATTCATAAACCATGATTTATATAAACAAAATGATTTATTTTTTTGGGAAGGATAAGAAAAAAATAATGCCAATAATATTAAATAAGTTATAGTGTATCATAAATTACAATTTTTTATTTTTGTTTAATTTAATTTAAGAAATCTATGAGTTACTGATAAAGATTGGAAGAGGAGTAATTCAGTTTTCCATAGATTATAATAAAGTTGATAAAAGCATTTGTGTCATTTTGATAAACTAACTGTGCTTTCGTATCGATAAATAAGATCAACAGACAAAAACATGTAAGTTCAGTTCCACCAAAAACCAACTTAATGACTTTTGCAATGTACAGATGATATGTTTATTGAGTTAACAGTAACCAGTTCATGGTTCTGTCTCTTTCTTTAATGTGACCCTACCCACTTGAAGCAATGGATTTGGAATTTTTAAATGATGGAACCTGTATGAGAGTATATATGAACATGATACATCTCTTTCATGAATAAAATAATATTTTATAAAATAGCTTCAATAATGATTATAAGAAAATATATTTAATATTAGGCATTAATAAAAATAATTTAAGTAACTATGTGCGAGAAAGAGAACGTATGAGTGGCTTTAAAGACAGACATCTGACATTTTTAAAAAGGGGAGAAAAAGGCAATTTTTGTATTACAGATTTAACTCAAACTGCTTCTGATGATTTTATTTAAAGATATTTAAGTTGAAACATGAAATAAATCATTAAAATTGGTTTAAATTAAATCTATGTTACAAAAATTGGCTTTTTCTCCACTTTTTAAAAATGGCATATGTCTATTTTTTATATGAATCCACTCATATGATCCTGTATTACAATTATAAATCGCTTCAGGCTTTTCAGCTCTGGGATTGAATGCTGAGAAGGCTCTGGACGCTAAGACTCTTAGACCATTTTATTTTGAAGGAGTAGTACGCTATCCAAATCTAAATGTTTTGTTAGTAGTTAGCTAAGATACAAAATTAAAACTATTTGCTTTTCTTTTTACACGGTTTATCTAAGAAAAGCTTATTGGAATGTTTCTGTTTTTTTATTTGCTCAGTATTGTATGGCTTTATCACCATAATCCTGATTTTGGCACAGCTTATGAACTATTAACTTAATATTTTATATAAACATGGAATTACAGAATGGACTGATTCATCTTGTTCAGTAAGACCTTCCCTTTTAGTACCTCCTGAATTAACATCAATACCTGAAAAGAAATTTTTATAACTGTAAAAATATAATTTAATTATTTTATTTAACTTATTTACTTAATTAAAGTATCATTATCAATAGATATTAATTAGTAAAAAAGTGCATAAATCATCCCTACTGCAAAATACTGATACAAGAAGGAGATGTATCTGATTTTTAAGACACTATAACATGTTCAGTGGCCTTCCTGATAGGTCACACTTGGAAGCTCTTTGTGTTAACACTACACTTGAGTCAAGAAATGGAATGGAAAGTGGTTTAACTGATAGGCTACATTGTTAAAATTGATAGGGCAAATCCTTTTCAATATAATGATTTAGATAAAACTAAAATAACTGGTAGATGGGTGCATAAGATAAGATTAATATTACATTAAGTTTTTATAGTTTTGTCTGAGAATTATATAATGAATCATAAAGAAAGTGTATCCTATAACAAGATATAGTTTCTAGCTTTGATGTGCATAAACTAATATACAGATGACTTACTAAATGGAATAAACTTACAGTTATAATATATAAGAACTAAACAAAACTAAAAGGTTTAATAAGGCTTACTTAGTGATCTTAATCCACTCATCAAAACATCAACATTCTGTGGCTCATTTCTAACTTGTGTATAAACGGATGATGAAGATTCAGGTTGAGAGGAATGGGTTTCTTGCTGAGATTTTGGTTGAGTGGTAGATGTTTCAATATTGTGCCTAATGAGTTTTTCTACCAGCAAATTAGCGAGTACATTGTGAAAATCATTGTGACAAAATTTATATCGTCGTTTACAGTCAGTAGAACTTTTCAGGTTACTGGATCGACTGACTTCGTCTCCAGTTTGAAATAACTGCTCTAACTGTTGTGATATTTTGGGTATATCTTTAGTAAACTGCTTCCCAAAAGGTGTGTCCTAAAAAAAAAAAAAATAATTTATAGCTATAATGCGATGAAGATTATATACAAATAAAAAATTCAAGATGGAAATATACTCACAGGAGTCAAAGGCTTAGGAATTCTTATCATAGGATGATCTGAGTGAGTTTGAGATCTTTCACAATCAGAACATAGTTCATAATCAGCACAAACAAGGCATTTATACCTAAAGCCTTTTAAAGGATGATCACAACTATCACAAGCTATATCAGGATGCAACATTGTATCATTTCCTGAAATACCAAAAAATATGTACATTTTAATATATAGATTAAAAAAGGACTAGAACAAAATTGCATACATTTTATCAAAGAAAGGAATAATTATTTAAAAGGTTAAAATATAGCTAGATGATAGTTGAGAGAACAATAAAAAATGAGACACATAGTGAATCAACAACTATCATTGATCACACTAGAATTACGAATATGAAATGTATGTCTAAAAATGAAAACAATTCATCATTACTTCGGTACTAATTCTCAATCGCTAGTCCAAGATGATGGCGACTATGTTTGAGATCACACTGAGCACACTGTCGATGGAATCTTAAAATAACCCAAATATATCCATCCAAAAGTAGATCTGGACTACCGACCTCCAATCCTTTGTAGCAGAACATTTAAGTTATAAGTTTACTTATTTTTATATGTTAACTAGCTTTACCCGGCTATGGCTCAGTCTGGCAAAATGAAAAAGAAAGGAAATAGAATGCACATATGAATGGATTAATACCAAAGGACAACTGTCATTTTTAAAAAGTTGAGAAACAAATTTGTCTGTAACATGGCTCCAATTTAAACTAATTCTAATTATTTTTTTTCATGATTCAACTTGGACATTCTTAATCATCAGAGTGAATGCGCCATCATTCTTAATTGACAGTTTGAGTTGAAGTTATAAAACTAAAATTGACTTTATCTCTGCTTTCTGAAAATGACAGAGATCCATCTTTGATATGAAGTCACTCATATACTTTCATGTTTAATTATATTATTATTTTTTTTTTTATATTTAATGTATTATTTAATGTTCAACTTTGTGTTGATTATTTTATGGCAAATAATGAAAATATTTGTTTGTTCAAATTCTTAAATCTAGGAAAGTTCTTCACCCATTGCCTTGAAATTTTGGCTTAACGTTGCATTTAAATACGTGGTTTAATTTATCTACTATTATAAAATATGAGGTGAAACTAGACATATTTATTAAAAATGCACCATCATTTGGATGTAAAAGAAACACATGTGGTTCAAAATATTTTAAAATACTGTTTCAATGTTAAACATTTTCAAATATCAAACATGGCAATGCATTGAAATCGTGCTATACCATTTACCATAGCGTTCCTTTTGTGTGCATTACAGCTACCTTCTACCTCCCTCAAAATATTTCACACACTCCTAAGATATTTGATTGCTTGCTTTTTCTTAAAAACAACTTGATTAAATATAGTTATAAAAATTATAATGGAACAATAAACATTACTCATGAAAGAAACACTACGGTAAATGGCACAACCTTATTCCAACGTAATGTTAAAGAAAATAATTTATTAAAAAATAAAATAAACTTAAATCAATGAAAAACTGTTTTCTAAAAGAAACATAAACGGTGATAATTATTACTTAAGAGTTAAATATTTTTAAATAATAGCAAATCAAATATTTGAGATGTATCACACAACTTCCCAAATACATAGGCGAAAATAAAAAATGAATATAAAGAGCGCATAACAGCATTGACATACATAAGGAAAATCATATCAATTCTTCAAATGATAATTTAAATTACTGCAGTAATTATAAAATTTTTGATTATTCAATAACAGTGAAAAGGGGAAATGGCCTTTGCTGAAGAGAAAGTAGTAAATGTTTAAAACTCTGTAACTGCAACGAATCGTCCGATTTTTATATATTTTTTTTATTTTGTAGGAAATTCAGGAAGATTTAATTAATTGGGTTTTCCAGCAGGATTCTGTTTCAGCTCACAAGGCTAGGTCAGCTCAACAATGGCTACAAAAGAACATTCCGGAGTTCATCTCTGCCTCATATTGGCCCTCAAGAAGCCCAATAGCCCTGATCTCAAGATTCCCACATTATCAGCTTTGGTCCAAACTGGAAGGATGGCATGCCACAGAGCAGACTCAGAACTTGGAACGCCTTAAACAATCTCTGTTCCGAGCAGTTGAGTGCTTTCCTTAAGAAGTGCTGCACGCTGCGATTGATGACTGACCACGGAGATTAAATGCTTGTGTCAAAGCAAAAGGACATTTTGAGTAATTTCTTTTTTGTTTTACTCTCTATAGATATATATTTTATTTTCTAATAAAGTTTTTGAAAAAAATAATTTTTCTCATGAAATCTGTATATATTTTCTTGAAACAATATTTATGACAGGACTAGGTATTGTTTTTTCCGCTATATAAATAAACCTTTTATTTACTAAATTGTATATTTTCTACTTTTCATCATTAATAATATCTAGAAAATTATTCTTTATTTCTTGTTTAGATTCATATATTTATATACTTATGGCTCTTCTCAATAGAGATGTCATAATTAATTATGTACTCTGGGTTCATACTAGCTCCAACCACTGTAGATATATTCCTACCCCATGCCCATCTAGTCCGTTTACCAAGCCAACCCTCCTCCTCCCATGACTAATATCCTTTTAACCTGCCACGCCAACGCTCAGTCACTCTTAGCCCATTTTGATGAATTTTATGATTTTTTCCTCCATAACTTCTACTATTTAATTCCACATTTTGAAACCTAGTTAAAGCCCTTTACTCCATCTTCTCAAATTATTTCACCCAATTAGACCCTCCTTCCTCATGATAGAGTGGATCGTACCAGGTAGTGGTGTAGGTTTCCTTGTCCATGATAGCCTTAAATTTAAAAACCTCCATTGTTCTTCCCATACCGATTTTTCACACCTAGAATATCTTTTTACTGAAATCCTCACCCTATCATTCCCCTTTCTCTTTGCAGTCATTTATCATTCTCCCAGAACTCCCATTGATAAATTATTTCAGACTTCCCTTTACAACTTGATCCCTTCCTACTCCAATATTATCCTCCCTGGAGACTTGCCAATACCAATTTACTGATACTATTCTCTGACCATTCCTATCTGGCCAGCCTCCTCCGATCCCTCAGCCTTTAAATAGTACCCTACAATTCTACCCATCATCTCCAGTTCTCAGGGTTCTGGATTAATCTGTTTATCTTGGATTCCCTAGATAAACTCCTCGCTGCATCTTAGCACCCGGTTACGTTTCTGTTTTCCCATGATCTTATCCAGATTTCCTACAATATCGCGGTCCAATTTTTTTCTCTCCGAACCATATCATTCTGAAACCTCAATTCTGCCATGCTCCTCTTTTAACTAAAACCATCCGACATCCCCTCGCTCTTTGGCTGACACTCTCTCTGAGTGCATGAGAAGAAGAGATGCTGCAAGACAGCAGTTTAAACATACCCATCTCCCAGAAGACTATATCGCCTTCAAGCTGCTTTAAAACAGCACTCAGTCTACTATAAGCCGAGCCAAATCCCTTCATTTTCATCATTGCTTATCCAACACCCCAAACTCCAAGGCAAAGTGGGCTATCCTCAGAAAACTGACCATTGATAACACACCTCAAACCCAGTCCATTTCTTTTTTTGCTGATGACCTTAATGCTCACTTTGTCACCTGTCCCTTCTCATCCTCATGCTAAGGACTCCCCTTTTAATTTTAATCCTGATCACTTATTTATTCCCATATTACCCCTGATGACTTCCGTAACTCCATTCAGAAATCCCATACCAATGATTATGGACCCGATAACATCTGTCAGACTGATCAAGCTCCTCTACCACCCATTCTTCCAATCCTCTACCATATCTACAATTACTCACTACAAAATGCTGCCTTTTCTACATCTTGGAAAACCGCACCAGTTCGCCCTTTGAAGATTTCCAACCCATCAACTCAATGATTTCGATCCAATTTCTCTCCTCTCAAATCTCTTTAAACCTTTAGAGCGACTACTTCAAACCCAGTTATCACATTTATTATAACAGAATAACTCCTAAATCCCTACCAGTTCGGTTTCCGACCCGGCTACTCCACTCAATCTGCCCTCATCAAAATTTCCCAAGACCTTCATAGTCACGAGCTAGCAGAAACTCACCATCCTTATTCTCCTTGACTTCTCCAAAGCCTTTGACTCAGTAGACCATAAAATTCTCCTAACCAAGCTTAAAAATATCACCTTTTCTACTAGTGCCATTAATTGGTTCTAATCCTTCCTTACCAGTCAGTCTCAGTATGTTGTAGTCCCTAATAATCCCCCCCCCCCCATCAGAATCTTTACCCTTGTCCAGAGATGTCCCACAAAGCTCCTCCTCATCTCCCATCCTTTTTTACATCTACATCAATGACCTCCCATCCTTTTTTACATCTAGATCAATGACCATCCTTTATTCTACACTGTCAAAACCATCTATATGCTGACGATGTCCAGATTTACCTCTCCTTCAATCCGACTGAATCCTCTGGTGCCATCCAAAAATTACAGCAAGATATAAACAGAATTTGTGCTTGGGCAAACCACAATAGGATTACTCTAAACGCTAAGATGATGAAAGCCATCCAGATCGGATCTCCCTCACTCCTCAAATCCTTACTGACACTCCCCAATCTTTTTCTGAACAACTCAGCTATCTCATTCCATACTTTTCTAAAAAAAGCCTTGGTGTTACCTTTGATCAAATGCTCTCTTGGAAACCACACGTCTCCCAAACTACCCGTTGTACTATCTCTACCCTTAAACAGTTCAACCGTCTCCGCTATCTCCTTCCATAAAAGCCCCATAAACTCCTGGTTTCCTCTCTTGTGTTCTCCCACTTTGACTATGGCTGTCTGTTGTACGGTGGACTCTCGGGAGAATTCAAGACCAAACTTAAATGCCTAATGAATTGCTCAATACGTTTTTTTTTCAGAGTTCAAGAGATACTCATATAACCCAGTATTACATCGATGAATTACTAAGAAGCAATGAAGTAATGCAGGTATATAATAACTTAAAAGAAACCTTAATAAACTAATAAAAAAAAATTTATTAACAAAAAAATCCAATCACAATATTATTATTTAATCATTAATACTACAAACCTTGTTGCTTTACAATAATAATAATCTTCTTCACTGGATCACACTTCATTTCATCCAAAGCAATAGTTAGTTCATCATCAGAACATATCCTTACAATATCACCTTCTTTATCTGCAAAGCATATGTTAATTAAAATAAAATCAATTATAACTTAAAAAACAAAAGCACTTGGGTGTTATATATATATATAGGATCACAATAATATATACCTTTTTCTTCCAGCTTCCTGAATTTATTCACCTATAGCCATTCAAGAAGTTTCAAATAGATGTTAATAATCTGATAAAAAGGGATGTATACTATACAGCTAGCTTATGTTGGAATAGCACTGCAACCTTTATGATGTCACAGCACTTAACCAAAATATTGCTGCTTTCTTAGGAACCAAGCTTTGTGTGAAGACTTTGGGAACTAAATACTAACATGACTAAAACCCTATATACACAAAAAAGTGATACATTTTTAATTGGGTACATGCAAAATTTTTCAATGTAGATTAGCTTATAACAATAAAAACAACTGAATATTTCTGATGCATATTTGTAAAGATAATTAGTGTTAAGGAAGAGTGGAGAGAACGGAGCTATGTCACAAGACTGGAGACACAGCGACATCACGGCCTGTCAGCCCTTCACTCGTACCGCTGATTATTTATTTTTTTGTGTCCTGATGCACCATGGCTTTAACAAGCCCATTGTGCACTATCTTATACTTTTTAGCATAGAATAGTGTTTCCAGCTTCAAAACATCCACTCAAGTAATGCATTTACATATTTTCTCTCACTCTGTTGTCACTGAATAATATCATTTCAGTTTAAAAGGTATGTTATTAACTTTTATAAATGAATTTTTATAAAGCAGAACCCTAGTAGATCCAGGATTCAATTTTGGGAAGGACAGCCCAAAAGCTTTTACATACACATACACTTTATATATATATATATATATATATATATATATATATATATATATATATATATATATAAGTGCTGTGACATCATAAAGGTATATATAAAACAACAATTCCTTGGGAAGAAAAAGAAAGAAACTGAATCCCTATATGAAATGGTGTTAAAGTGATTCCTGAAATCCTATTAAAAATGTAGCAACACTTTTAGAGATAATTATTAATATAATGAGATAATATTGTTTTCATAAGATGTAGTTATATTAAATAGCTGTACACATATTATAATTTTAAAAAATTTAACATATTGTTATAGTTTAAGTATTTAGCTTAGATCACTCACAGTAACACATATAGGGCAAGAGAGAAAAAAAACAATTTCTCCATTTTGGAGACTTTCAGTCCAAAAGCCTTCCCCTTCCTCCCCACAGATTCGGCAGTGAAGCAGAGCTAAGAGACACTTTGACAGGATCTTGTTTGGTCGCTACATATATCACATTACAGTGGACTGAGGCCACATTCCCCAATCCCAATACCATTGAACACATATTTTCCAGTTTTTAGCTATGTTTCTTTTTTATATTATTCAAAAAGTACAATAAAAAAGTAGAGTATGAATATGAGAATAATAATTTTGAAACATTACAAGAATATAGTTGTTTACTGAACTTATATTTACTAACCAAACCTCAACCTGTCTTATATTTAATGACTTAACTTCACTGAAAAATATTTATTGACAGAACCTCAAGATCCTGAGAAAATATAAATGGTACTACTTCACAAGTTTAGCTAGGTGGGTGGACATAATATTTCCTGATTACATTGTGTATGGTACTCTGGAAGGGGAGGAGTGAATTTGAAAGTAGACATAGGTGACCAAATCTTCAGGTAAAGCTCTGATATTAACAGAAAATAACCTATTATGAGTTTGTTAATACATTTAAAACGAGCATAACAAGCTGAAGTCGAGAGCAGTGATCAAATCTAAGCTAGATAAGACCCTTATTAAAACTAGAAAAATCTGTTAGCGAAGTTTTAAATTACGATCAATACTTGTGTTGCTCTAATTTGATGAGTAAGCACAAGATCTCACGAACAGACTATAAATAGAATTTGAGTATTGACATGTTTATGAGTACTACCTTCTTATATTAAGATCGCAATTTATTAATTTCACAAACCTGTAACTAATTCTTTTGACAGTTAAAATAAGAGCATTAATCAACTTGTATTACATCACTCTTTTCAACATCAACTCTCTCAAGAGGGATAGGGAACCAAATAATGGTTTCTTAACAGTTGAGATCAGATTTTGATCACCTTACCAGGCAGTTTGGCCACCTCCATCTATTTTCAGACACACTACTTTGATAGTGAATTCATGAGACCCTGTGCCCACCAAAAAAGAGAAGTTGCCACATGAACCTTAATCCTCAACAACCATGGAGTATGGTCTTGTGCCCATCCATCATGATGGACCGACACTTGAGAAGTCGTACTAATAATTACACTCCCCGTCAAAAGTATTGCAACACACATAATTCTCGAGATTTTCTTGGTTTTGACCTTAATACTCTGTTTATATTTATAGTAATATTATTTATTAAATGAGGGACATTAGGGATTAGACATCTGATTGTTATTCACTGTTCATGTTAGTGGGATATCAATCTCGGAGTCAACAGTCTTTAGAAGACAGAGAGTCAAACCTCAGCTCAAGAAGGCTAGCAAAAGATCCTCTTCACACTGCAGAACACCACATAAAGAGATTGAGATTTGCAAAGGAACACCAATTTTAGACTGTGGATGAATGGAAAAAAGTTTTATTCACTGATGAGACAAGAGTGGCCCTTAACAGACCAGATGGCTATGAAAGAGTTTGGAGGTCTGGAGAATGGTATGGTCAGTGGTGTACGTTAGAAACTGACCCACTTGGAAGGAGTTTTATCATGTTCTGGGGCAGCATATATCTTGGGAGGCACGTACCCAGTTACCTCCCATACTGAGAGGAGGATACCGAGTAGGAGCCCAGAATGTTTTGAGGTATGTAAAAATGATTCTTCAAGATCTTGTAGTGTCGCATGATAATGCCAGTCCACACAAGGCAAGATGTGTTTCAGAGAACCTCAACTCCACAAATATATACACCATTGATTGGCCAGCAAGAATCCTAACCTTAAACCAATCGAGCAGGTTTGGGATTCTCTCAAAAGAAAGGTTTGATCACAAGATTCACCTCCTCCAACCCTTCAAATGCTAACGGCAGCTGTATTGGAGGAGTAGGACAAAATACTCCACGATTTCCTTCAAAATATTTTTACAAGTATGACAAGACGAGTAGAAGCAGTCATTCAAGCCAGAGAGGGCAATACGTCCTATTACATGTAAATTAAAAATTTTAATTTTAATTAAAAGTAAAAATTGTAAAAAAAGAAAACTTTAAAAAGTAAGTTTTCTAACTTTTTTGTTTATTAGAAGACTTCATAATCTTTCTTTATTATAAAAAAACAGAAGTTTTTGTAAAATTCAAATATTTCAAAGTGTTGGGATAATTTTGATGGGGAGTTTATAATAATAGTCACCAATAAAAAAAATTACCTTTCCAATTGACTGAAAAAGGAAGATCTTTTAAAACAGGAAAAACAGCAATTAATTTACGGACGAAATAGATATAATTATGATATGAAATCGTCTCCATCGCTAAATATCGAATTTCTGTTTCATTCTCAGGACCAGTGAAGATGATTTTGTAGTGGATGATCTGTCGGTTCATTTTTCCTAAAAGCTGAAAACAATCGGCATACAGTGAGACAATAATAAACACAAAAGTGAATTAAAATGAATGCTATTGGAGCGTATACCCATCTAAACAAGTAAAAAGCCTTTAACAAATAACTTTTCTTTTTCAAAAAATATTAAACACAAACAAGATGTTAATCACTAATAATTTTCGTTTTTTTAATGTTGGAAGAAATGACGCATTTAACAAACTATGTAAAAAAATAGAAAAAGACATTTGCTTTTCAAAATTATTTCCCATTAAATATATGTTACAACAGATTAAAAAATATTTCGATTAACATACCTTTAAAACAGACAATTATTTGACAGCAACAAATTGACAAGTCCCAGCACAAACAATATACATTCAGTGTTGCCAAAGACGCAATGTTTTCATTTATTGATAAAATGTATTCCTGCTTTGCTAATAAAACGTTTATTCATTAAAGATTTTGAATTAGTGCGATTTTATCAATAAATAATTTGCTACAATTAAATATTATGTTATATAACCACCCCAAGCGTTTCACTAAAGTTTATTTTATGGGTAAAATTTGTGAATTTTATTTTTCTTCCTCTAAAATACTAGACAAATGATGTTTTAGCCCTCTTCACCTCCAGAACAGGTGCTATTACTTTCATTTCTTTGATATTTATTTAGATTTTCAGTATGTACCACATTTCTTGTTGAACATATTATGGCACCAGAATCGATATTTTGAATGGTTTCGGTTTCCTTAATGAGTGGATTGAGTTTTTCATTAAAAAATAAAGCAGTACAAAACGCAGCAAAAATGTAAGTCATTTTATCTCAGCGTCCGGACCTTACCATCTCATATTTTCTAGACATTTATTAGAAGAGCACTGCTAGTATAGACCAGAAAAAAAATATGAAATTTTGAGGAGATATATTAACTCATTTTTTAATTTCAGAGCTGTAAATTTCTCATCTGGAATAAAAAAAATGTAATGGCAAGTTTTAAAATCACTGCAGAAACTTCCCTAATTTAACTGGAGATGTGGATTGTTGTCATTTTGCCAAAGTTGGGTCTAGTGGCACTTGGCCCGGGCGGCAGAATTTTGGAGGCGGAAAATTTGGACAATAAATTTTATTTTTAAATTAAATAAAAATACTTGTTTCTGTTCGATTTTAATAATGTAAAAGAGTTTATACCTGCGAAATAAGCAGTAGGATAGCTGCCATTTCACCATTGAAATTTTACTATCCTTACTCACAACTTAATCAGAATTCCTTTGAGATAACCAATATTCCATCATTTTTAACAGCTGATTCAGCTGATCCAATGGTATAAATGTGAAGTAAATTCTGAGGAGGGTACTTTTGAGCTATATTTTCCAGTGCTATTGCTTTTACCTCATAGTCAGGTATTATTTTCTTACCCATCTTATGAGTTGTAGCCCTATCTTGCTTACGAAATGGTGGATTAGGTACTGTGCCTGTATAAATGGTCCCCTCTCTTGGCAGTGAAGACCTCTTTCTTCAAGTAAAGAACTTCAGCATAAAGGATTCTTGTGTCCTGAAGGGGTTCGGTTTAGTTTGTAGTTCTTTGCTGCAACAGGTGTTGAGCGGAGTGCACCCAAGATTAAACGTAGAGCTTTGTTATGTTGGCAGTCCAATCTCTTTAAGGTTGCATAAGCCGGAGTACAGATTAACTCAGAACCATAATTCAGGACTAGGCTTAGGCGTAGGTTTTATATGCAATACCATCATATCCTGCGTGGTCCCCCATGTCTTTCCTCCAAGGCGTTATAGGAGTTTAAGCCTGTTTTCCCATTTCAATTTGCCTATTTCGATTCATTTTTGTATTTTAGTTAACTCCCAGGTATTAGCCTACATAGGTTTGTGGCAAAGGAACATTATAAATGACTTCAAGCTCGTACTCTTTTGTCGATTATGTGATATTAAATATTTAAACTTGTGAGAATTGCAAAATTAGACATACCCCTCTAGAAAAATCCTAGTTTCTGTTCTGCATTTTACAGCATTGCTCATCCTCATCCCTCTGATATATAATATTATACAGTTCTATGTGAAATTCAAACTTAATTTAAAATATTAAGTTATTTTGTTAAATAATAATGAAAAGTATACATTAAATAATACTGATAATTTTGAGTTAAATTGAGATATAATTTAGAATTTCGTTAAAATCTGTAACATAGTATATAGAATAACTAAGCAAAACTAAACATATTAAAAATGGAACATGAAGCTAATAGCTTCATTTACATACCTTACATTTGATGAACCATTTGTCTCACATTTGTTGAGTTATTTGATGAACGTTTCGACGAATGTTCGTCCAAACAGGTACTTGTCTTAACCAATCTTACCTCTTATGCACATACTTCTTTGTTTTATTTCTATTTTCGTTTGTAGGTTATAAAAGGTTACAGTTAGTGTTTGTTTATAGCCATGTCGATTGTTACAAATATTCCTCAAAAACCTGAAATTTCCCAAAAAGAATATTTGAAGAAATACCTTTCTAAAGATAAAGGAGAAAAAAAGAAAAAGAAAGTTAAAATTTCCTCATCTAGCCATCTCAAACGGCAAGTAGTTGTCCTTTTCATTTTGTTCTGTGAAATGTTTTTTTAGACCTATTAAATATTTTTATATTTACAATATTTCAGATCTGTCATAATCGATGATGACTTAGGATTACCAAATGTAGCATCCGTGGAAGATGAAGAATTTAATCTTGACTATTTAGGTGATGAAGCTCCTCAGATTGCTGGTATTATTGATGAGAGACCTCCAGAAATCAAAGCCAAAGAAAGTCATGGGGATAGAAATAAGTGGAAACCAGTTGGAGATCCTGGGGGAATGGATTTTCTATCTAATGAACATTCCATCTCTAATGGACAATCAAATAATGGCAGTGTTGTGAGAACTGAAAGTGATGTATCTTCTTTAAAGGGCAAAAGTAAATATCCTGGTGAAGGTGGAACACACTATGAAAGGTAAATGTTTTATTTATTAATGTTAACCATTGCTACAATTTAGAATTCACACTGAGGACTAATTATTATCGAAGAATTAATTACCTAAACATTTGGCAGTAAAGTGGTACCCATTTGGTCATTAGTGTACAATTGTAAGTCTACTTTGATGAGTGGGCCAAGATCACACTATAAATGGAATTCTTACATTAGCCGAGGAATGAAGTGTTCACAGTATTAAATTTCTTTGTTTAGATATCAATATAGGACTTTATGGTTAACATAAAATAGCAAAGTCGGGCGTGGTTAGTACTTGGATGGGTGACCGCCCGAGTCTCTCCCTGCCCCTCCGGTATGTGAAGTTCGTCAGCCTACTGGAGGCAACTCACACCGACCCGGCATAGGACTGATGACTCTACCCTGTGTACTTAAATCGGGAATCGGGATGTGGTTTACCAGGATGTTAATAGCCCCCCTGAGATTCGGTCTATGTACGGTCTGTTTCGGAAAAAGAAATATTGTTCCTCGTGTGCCTGCTTACTCCTAGGAGCCATAATAAATGGATCAAGACCGATTTGTCACAGTCCTCGAATCCGAGTGAGTCTGTGGGAAGGACATTACCAGATTGGCCCCAAAGGGATAGGCTATGGAGCTATGGATGGCCTGCCGCTGCACCCTAGAGACCATGTTTTGTAGCAACGTGAGGTTGGGTGACCCCCTCCTGGCTATCTGAGCTCCTGGAAGTAGCATAGGTCTGTAAGACCACATCTCTCGGCCAAAGATCTTCATGGTCTGTAGTGACAACCGAAAAAAAATAAATAAATAAGACTTCGGCAAACTCTCTATTGGTCAGTTGAAATTGGGGCATTAATTGACTTAATTTCATTGTTGCATTCTACTTCCGCTTGTTCCAAAGAGATAAACTAACTCCCAACCGGTCCTTTGCGGAAGGGGTCAGAGCTTTACCTGTTTTATCACTTTCATCTACTTGTGGGCACACTTGACCATTCTCGGAATTTCATTGATGGCGTGATCATGAGATCTTGTGCCCCGTATCAAAGTGGAGTGACACTTGTACATTTCAATAACGAATGTTACAAGTAACCAGCCATCTAGAATTTTCTTGTTTAAGTCAAATAATTCTATTTGCACTTATAAAATAGTGTATAAAATGTATAGAAGAGATCTGATGTAGTTGTTTGTCATATCGTTTTTAATTCTATGAAAGGGAGGTAGAGCCTTCTTTCAGTTCCTTGATCCATCAGTCTCTTTCTTTTTAATATATATTTATATATTCTGTATCAGTGGTAACAGAGCCTAGTATTAGGGACGCTTTTTAGTGTTTCTTTTACTAGTGTCTTGCATGTATGTGAAATTTTTTATCTATATATATATATATATTGTTATTATATACTTATTTTATACTTCTATTTTCAATCCCATGTCACTTTTTCTTTATTTGCTTTAGTAAAGAAAATAAATTGTCAAGTTCGCGCTTGCCTTATCTTATTATTCTTACTTGGATAGACTGTTCTAAAATCATAGTGATGTGGACAGCAAATTATTATGGGAGTTTTATCCAGATTAATTCATTTCACAGTAGTTTAAATTTTAAAATTATTTTCTTATTTTATTTTATAATATTGTTATCAAATTTACTTAATGTATTTAATTTTTTAGTACAGTTGTAAATATCATGTATAAATAAATACAAAAAAATAAATTTTATAATATTGTTAACCTTATTAGCATAAAGTTTTGTACTAAAATCAGTTTGGAGATTTACGGAACTATTTAAATTTTTGTTAATGTAAATGAATTTGATTTTTTTTCTTTTACTAATATTTTTTTTTTTTTGTGTACATTTTAGCATTTTTGAAATAAAAATCATGCTTGTTATTTGTTGAGTGCTGTGTAAGGCTGATTGATGTTTTGGAATTTGCTGATTTAGAACTGCAATTTTGTTTATGTTGTTGCAATCTTTTTTAGAACCATTGTGCCGTTTGTCCATCATAAAATTTATTATTGAGGAAGGAGATGGGCCAGGGTAGCGGTAGTAAAAAGACTAAAATAGTGACACAAATATTCAAGCCTGAAAGAACTATTTTATTTCAAGCAATATTTCAGTATTTTATTCTTTTTATGACCGCCATCCCGAACCATCTCCTTCCTCAATAACGTACAACGCTCAACCATCAAGTATTCTATAAAATTTATCAGTACAGTGTTTACAATTATTTCATATTGTGTTTTATTTCATTTAAGAGAAGGATGGTTGGGGTGATCAGTCATAATAAAATAGTAAAAATAAGTAATTGTATTTATTTTCACATTCGCCGATGTTTCGGCCCGAAGTTCAGCCCTTCTTCAGGGCTGCTCTACAAACAAGCATAGAACGTCTAGGCTTGTTTGTAAATATTGACCTATCACCCTAAAATCTGATTTACTTCAGCACTATATATATATATATATATATATATATATATATATATATATATATATATATATAAATCTTTCTGCTGAAGCCCCTCCTCCAAAATTAAATTTTGATTCGGTAATGTATATACTATTATTAGAGCATAAGTTCGTATGTAATAATTTTCAACTTTAATTCTATGTGTATTAAAGGTGATATTTTGTAGTCTCCAACTGATATAAGTAGTCTGCTACTATGGAAAATAGCAGATGAAAATAAAATGTGAAATTATTCTAATAAAGCATAAAGAAATATTGAGTTTTTATGCACTCTTGTAAAACAATAAATGAATTTATACATAAGACCTTTTGAACTAACAGTATTGAAATTCATGTTCAGTATGCATTTTTTTTTTATTTATTTTTTTTTTTATTAAGCATAATCAAGTATGGAATATTCAAATATGACCCTCTGTTGTTGAATGTTGAAGGGTAACTGTAATCGGCTATTCCGATTCTGCTTCTCTCAGAGATTTTATTCTCATACGAAAAATTGTATACCTTGTAATATACAACGGAAACGGTGAGGAAGCTATACTGACCTTACTTGGCAGACGTTTTTTAATAAGTGTTATGCAGCTAATAAGCAAGACCTGTAGGTGCATATTGGGACTGATTTACTCCTTAAAATTTATGGTTAGCCAATTAGTATCAGGTCATAATTTTTGTAATTGATATTTCAGTTTTAGGATAATCCAAAGAATCCTTACCAGATGCAGTAGTTGAGTAAGTTCATGAACTCAACACTAAGCTCATCAATGGAATCAAAAAATCATCATACCATTCCTAAATTTCATTGATAGACTTTAAAATTTCCCATTACTTCCATGGGCTTTTGGGTTAATGGGTCTGCCATATGTAACCTCATTATAACTTTAGTGTTACTATTTTTTTACTCTCAATTTATTTTGCATATTTATATCCAGTTTTCTCTCTATATTTATTTATTTTTTTTAAATTCAACATTTCAATAGATAGGTATTTCCTTATATACTTTGTTAGGAGTGTACCCTCCTGGATATTCAGCTTCCTTCCTAAACTCAGCATAAATCGCTGTCCATTGGGTGCTGGATTCAATTGATTGCTGGATTCCATTAACGGAATCAGTACTGAGTTTAAGATCTTGTCCTTACTACTACTATAAGCCAATATCCAATGACATATTAGTAAACTCTGTATCTCCAATGGGAGATTTAGGTTATAAGAATTTTTAAGTGTTGTAACAAGCCCCAAGGAAATTTGGATTAGCTTTTTATTAATATTGCTTTTATATTAAAGCTGTTCCCATAAGTGAAAAAAATACTATTTTTAAATATTTTATAATTGAAAATAAAAAATTTATTCTGAAAAGTAATTATTGATAAATATTAATTTGTTTTACCAATTTTTAATATATTTTTTTTTTAGGGATTCAAGAGACAGTGATTCTGACCTTTCCCCACCTCGAGTTAAGAATAAATATGAAGACAAATCTAAAGATTCTCATAAAAGGAGGTATAGCATCAAAGGTTTTATACTTTTTTTTTGTTATTTATGAAATCCATTTATTATTGGTTATTAAATATAACAAAATAAAAAAATGTAAATCAGATTTTAGGGTGATAGGTCAATATTAATTGAATATTTTTGCATAATGTCAATACTCTTAATTTTGGTGCTATTAATAATGCTCTACACATAATCTCTCTATTATATTAAAAAGGTTTTAGTGACTGTCATATATTATTTTACATAGACAATGTGGGATGGAGTATAATAAAGACACCACACTTCTTATTCTCAACAAATTTAACGCACTACTTATAGAATATGAACAAACCTTATACAAAAACAAACATTTAAATCACACACTATACAAAATATTTACAATAAAAGCAGATTAACATAATTCACACTTTTTTTTTTTTTTGTTCTTCCCTTCCTTACCTTTTAGGCTATAGGAAGTTTTACCGGACCAGAGGGTAAGGGCATGGACTAATGTCAGAGTTAAAAATCTCTCCCTGGGTACTGGGACGCAAACTCATAGTTATTTCATCAAATTATTCTCATCTAGGTTTCTAGGCAACGTGGTGCTGTGCATTACCCCACCCCGCCACTACAACATAATGTACACTATTTACAAAAAATATTTCATCTATCTACACTGTTACCTCCACACGGTCTTCCAGCCTAGGTAGTATTATCTCTAGACAGTGTTGCCTTGATATGAGATTCATTCTCAGACGCTCCCTCACACTGTGGTTTCATTCTATTTATTTTATGTTGATAATACATAATGCAATATGAATTACAGAATACATGTAAATTACAGTTATACAATTTAAGCAACGAGTTGTACAATTAAATGAACAGTTGTATTATTTGTAAAATGGGGTTTGGTCTCTCATTAGGCGTACAGGTATAAAAATTATAGTTTAAAGTAAATTTAATATTATTTTGCATTGGTAGAATATTATGAGACAGGGGGATTAGGTGTGCTGTAAGTAACAATTATTATTCTTTTACAGAGAAAATTAGATTGACTAGCAATAAAAGGTTCAATCAGTTAAAAGGACAATTTATTTGCAAATGTTTTATCAAAATTTACAATTAATAGTTAGTGTAAAATAAATATATTCAATTTAAGTTTTATAAAATAAATGACAAAACGTATACTATAGCTATTAAAAAAAAATCAATAAGAAACTATTGTTGTTCCTTATATGAATAGTTATTCTAAAATGTATAAATATGAATTTTTTTAAAGCTTTCTTAGTGATAACTTCTTTTCTGCTAATTTTAAACAAAAAAATATATTTAGCTTGATAAAATCTAAACAACTTCTTACAAAACTGTTTTATGTTTTACATAAAATACAATATTTACAATAATACAAGATTTACTGAGTTGGCTCCACAACTCTTTTTTTTTTTTTTTTTTAAACCAGTTACTGAATTTTTTGTCATTTTGTCATAATTATTGTGGAGAGACTAACATCAAAATGATATTGTTAATGATTTATCATAAGTTAGCTACTTGTGTTTGTGGCTATGATTGTTTTTTTATAAAGCTAGATAGTTATGGTTAATTTTACTTTTAGGCCTTTAAAAAATGATGATGATTCTGATCTTTCACCTCCTAGGAGCAAACATAGAAATAGTGAAAAGGAATATATCTCCAAAAGGTATTCTTTAAAATAAACAAAAAATGTCATAATAATTTTACTGTCCCCTTTCTGGGACCTCAATCAAGGGTTAGCTATGCTCAGAATTCTGCATGCAGTTTTGGCTATTCCTAGTAGTATGGCTTTTTGATCTTCTCTTATAAGTTCTGTTGCTTAGTTGAAATACAGCAATTAATTAACATTGGCTTTGCTTTGGTATCTTTCACTATTTTCATTAAGCTGGAGTGGAGTACAGCACCACCTTCAGTTGTTTATTATCCATTTATTCATATGTTTTTGCCTGTAATTGTTTTATCTAAAAGAATCTTATGTTAGAGTCTCATTAACATATAAGATGCATACCCAAACTAACCATATTGTAATTTGTCTGTTGCTTGACAATATTTATGCCACCACTCTGTTGCCAAATGTCATCACTGCCTCAGTTCAACATCTAGTTTTTAATATCTTCAGCATTCAACAGATGTTGGCATTAAGAAATGCAGCATCAATTAGCTGTATTCTCTCTTTAGATTATGGGATGCTGCCTTTCGCCTACTCTTTTTAAAATTTATGTTGATGTTGCTCTCAGAGAGTGGAGAAGAAAATGTGGCAAAATGGGAATAAGGATTGGGGAAAATGTATGCATCATGAACCTAATGTTTGCTGATGACCAAGTAATCATAGCCGAGGACAGATAGAACATCGATTATATGTTCAGAAAGGTTGTTGAGAGTTATGAAAAGTGGGGGTTGACTATTAACTTCATGAAAACATAGCACCTTGGCACTTCATCTGATGACACACCAATTGAAAAAGATATAAAATCTGTAGAGAAATTTAAATACCTAGGGTCAATATTTAATAGATAAGTTACATCCACTAATGATATTGACAGAAGAATTGGTGAAGGAAGAAAGGTCACAGCACTATTCAACAGTATCCATTGGAGCTCAAATATGCAGCCCAGTACAAAGAGGCTAATATACAAGGCTATATTCGAGCCAATTACGACATATGCCTTGGAGTCTTGGGTCATCAATGCAAGATACCGAAACAGACTGTTAGCAGTAGAGATGGACTTTTGGAGAAGAGCAGCAAGAAAATCCAGAAGGGCAAAAAAGAGAAAAAGAGAAAACGAGGCTAAAATGGAAAGATGCAGTAGAAGAAAGCCTGGCGGGTCATGGCATCATAGAAGAACAGGCTTTGGATAGAGAAGAATGGAAAAATATCTTCAAGAATATTTAGGTCAAGGACAACCACAGTAGTGGAAAAGTCTTTAAAAAACACCATATAATTCCTTTATTTTGATTTAATTTTTTATGTTTCTATACTTAAATTAGAAAATTATTAAATGGACTTTCACATTTTAGGAGGTTGTCGCATTGGGTTTCCGTAACAATCTCAATCAAAAGTGTACCGTCTCTTAATTTTTTAACAGCTTTTGTATCCACAATTAAATTTTTAATACTTTTGTGTGAATGAAGAACGGTGATATTTTTTTGAAATCCAAAGGATTTCCTTTATTATCCATTCCATTTAAAAATAAAACAAAAAGTCATTCAAAGGATTTATCCCAGCAACATAAGAGATATATTTTATTCGATTTTTTTTTTTTTAATTTTCTTAATGTATCATATTTACTAATTTCTTTAAGTGTTGTCTTTTTCTGATAATAAATGAAGTTTTAAACTTAATTTTGTGCTATTTATAAGTAACTGTTAAACTTACAATATTTTTTAAGGTGTTCAGTATCATTAATTTTTTTTTTTTTGTCATTCTTTTAATAGCAATATACATATTTAATAAGTTCATTCAAATTATCCCACTAACTTATTGTCATTTATTATTATTTTTTTTAATGTTGATGTTAAAAATATTTAATGAGGTTGAAGTCGGTGGGCTAAGTTTTTTTTTAGTTTTTTAACAGACTTATTTCAAACTGACACCCATATTAATGAAAATTTATAAAAATACAGTTGAAACATCGAATAATTTCACAGATAAATTTTTCAATCAGTGACTTATTTGAATTATATTTAATTGGGAGAAATTTTTAAAAGATCATCATTTAAATGGATCATTATTATTTTTGTATTTATGCTTTCTATATGTTTATAATGTAATTTTATTTTTTCTAGAAATAAAGCAATATATGATTCTGATACTTCTCCTCCTAGAAGAAGTAGATATGAAGAAAAATCGAGGAGGTATGTTAATACATTTTTTTTTTTTTTTTTTTTGTGATTTATATTCCTAAATTTGATCTATTGTTAATTATTAGTTTAAGAAGGTTCCTTGATTTTGTTCTTAATTTTTCTCAGTCTAGAAAAAGTAATTATAAAAGAATTGAAAGAGGTAATATTTTGGATTCAGTTAGGTTTATACTTTTATTATAATGGTGTTTGAAATTCCCAATTAATATAACTTTGATTTTAACCATTCTGCTCTTCTTCAAATTAATTTGTCCACAAATAAAGAAAAGTTAAAAATAATTTAACTATTAATAAAACCTACTACAGAAAAAACTATCTATCCTAAGGGAGTGTACTTGCATATTCACTTTAATACATTAGTAGATTGTTAGTGAAATCGATGTCTATGAATGTTTAAACTTGATGTTGTCAAGTGCCTTCCACTTCTGAACATGAGAGAAAATCTGCTTGTTACGAGCGATAGTGTGTAGTGGAACGAACCGAGCTACAAATTCAATTTTAAATATTCATAGAAATCAATTTCTCTTATCATCTGCTAATGGGTTAAAATAGATGCAAATTCTTTTCCTTAGGATGAATAGGATTATCTCTGTAGTGTTTTTTTAAAAATTAAATTAATTTTAGTGATTTAAATTTTTTAACTATTGATAATTTATATTCATCAGATATGATCATGAACCTTACACCTGATATATTATGAAACCAAAAAAAAAAAAAAAAAAAATTAGAAAACTTAACATTGTTATTATTTCAGTATTTTGAGCTTAAATTGTTTCAATACATACATGAGATCTTCATGAATAATTTGAATCTTGAATCTTAAAAATCGGTCCAGCCATTTGTTCTAAAATCCATTGTTACCCTTTAACGGACAGATTGAACACACTTTATTCAATAGTTTGTTGGTATTTAAAGCTCAAAACATTCATGAGATCTCACTGAGTAATTTAAGCCATAATACTTAAAGAGTTTACATAGCTAACAGTCTACCTAATAAACACATAAAAGTTCTTGTGGATTTTCTGTAATTGGGTAAATCGATGATGAGGGCTGAAGCTATCGTGTATTCTCCATAATTAAGATTTAATAATATTGAATATGATGCGTTGGATTCTAATGTTAATATGGGATTGCTCGAACCACCACTAATCCAACTACACTTTTGGGTGTAGTATTTTAATTATAGTATAGTATATAATTTATTTCAGTATTATTATTTTGATTTATTTTCTCTGCTGGGCTGTATTTATTATATATTTTAATTGATTTATCTTTTTGATAGAAAAGGAAGTGATTCTGATGTTTCACCCCCTAGGAAAAATAAACATGACGACAGAGCAAAGAGGTAGATAATATTTATTCGTATTTAATAAATGATTTTTATTTTTATTCTATTGTACTATTATTATTGTGTTTTGTTTTTTTCTGGTAGGAAACGTATTGATTGTGATCTCTCCCCTCCTAGGAAAAACAAATATAATGACAGTATAAAGAGGTAGAAAATATTTATTGGTATTATATTTTAAATTAATAAATTAATTTTAGTTTGTTTTGTGTTATTAAAGTGTTTTATTGTTGTTTTTTCTTATAATAGAAAAGGAAGTGATTCTGATTTCTCCCCTCCTAGGAAAAGCAAACATGTAGACAGAATAAAGAGGTATGAAATATCTATTTGTATTCAATTTTAATTTAATAAACAATTCGTAATTGTTTATTTTGTTTTATTGTTGTTGTTTTTTAATAGTAGAAGAGGAAGTGATTCTGATCTCTCCCCTCCTAGGAAAAACAAACATGAAGACAGAAAAAAGAGGTAAAAATTTATATTTAATTAATGATTTTTAATTGTTTCTTTTAATGCTATTGTATTAATAGTATAATAATAAGCTGTATTATTGTATTTTTTTTTTATGTTAGGAAAGGAAGTGATTCCGATTTTTCTCCTCCTAGGAAAAACAAATATGAAAACAGAGCAAAGAAGTAGGAAATATCTATTTTCATTCAGTTTTAACTTAATGAATGATTTTTTTTTTTTTTGCTATTGTACTATTTTATTATTATTTTTTTCTTTTATAGGAAAGAAAATGATTCTGATCTCTCTCCTCCCAGGAAAAATAGATATGATGATAGAGCTAAGAGGTAAGAAATATTTATTTGTATATATTTTAATATAATCAATGATTTTTTAATGCAATCAATGATTGAAAGTCATTATAGTATTTTTATGGCTTGTTTTGATAGGAAAGGAAGTGATTCTGATCTCTCACCTCCAAGGAAAAATAAATATGAAAACAAAGCAAAGAGGTAGGAAATATCTATTTACATTCAGTTTTAATTTAATAAATGATTTTTTTAAAATATTATACTGTTTTATTATTATTTATTTATTTTCTTATAGGAAAGAAAATGATTCTGATCTCTCCCCTCCCAGGAAAAATAGATATGATGATAGAGCTAAGAGGTAAGAAATATTTATTTGTATATATTTTAATATAATCAATGATTGAAAGTCATTATATTATTTTTATGGCTTGTTTTGATAGGAAAGGAAGTGATTCAGATCTCTCACCTCCTAGGAAAAACAAATATGAAAACAGAGCAAAGAGGTAGGAAATATCTATTTACATTCAGTTTTAATTTAATGAATGATTTTTTTTTTGCTATTATATTGTTTTATTATTATTTTTATTTTTATTTTTTTTATAGGAAAGAAAATGATTCTGATCTCTCTCCTCCCAGGAAAAATAGATATGAAGATAGAACTAAGAGGTGAGAAATATTTATTTGTATATATTTTAATATAATCAATGATTTTTTAATGAAATCAACGATTGAAGGTCTTTATGTTATTTTTATGGCTTGTTTTGATAGGAAAGGAAGTGATTCTGATCTCTCACCTCCTAGGAAAAATAGAAATCAAATAAAATCCAGGAGGTATGTAATTTGCACTTCATTGATTTTTGTAGGTTTCTATTGTTCCTTCAATCGTTTTAGTTCAAATATAATTTTTCCTGTTGTTTTTATTAGTATTCACAATCTCCTTGATTTTGATTATAGCATTACAGTATCGAGTTATATCTTAATTTTCTTGTTATAAAGTCATTTTGCAAGATAAATATTTTACTGAAAGAAATGTGATCCATGGACTTGGAGGATGATGGAACCTACTGTTATGTATTTTTATTTTTGTGTTCCTCTGTATGAAACATTGCAATGTTGGTAAAAAAAAAACTTGAAATATGCAACAATTGTCTGTGTTTAATTAAAACTCCTGCTGATCATCTTGATTGTTTTATTATAATGAATTATTTTACATAGATATTCTGTCTGAACTAAACCTTTTAAGCTGAGTCATTTTTCTCAATTATGTTGTAATGATTTATTTTAAAAAAATATTTGATAGGAAATAATTATGGTCTTTCAACACCTAGAAAAAATAAACACAGACCTCAATATTAGGAAATATTTACATGTAATCTATTAATTATGTGTAATAGCATGTGTAATTTTTATTTTATTTTATTTATTGAAATTTACAACTGTATTATATAAAAAATACAACAAGTAAATATGCAATTAGTAACATCAAATGTACAACGTGAAGAGAAACTACCCATTGGTAACACTCCAATTATAGTTCTATATTAGAAGGCCATCTTCTTATCAGACACCTCGGAGGGATATCAGGATTAGAAGAGGAAGCAAGTTTAGAAAGAAGAGGGTTCGGATGGTTCAGAAGTTTATTATGGAAGGATAGGTATCTGGATTGAGCTAAATCGGAAATATATGTTACATTAAGGTTGTTATGGGTGATTTTATTTGTGATAAAGTAGGGAGCACTGAGGATTTTTTATGAAGGATTTTGGATTGTAAGGATTGGATACGAGAGGAATTTGATGGTTTAGTAGAGTTCCAAAGCTCTATCCCGTAAGTCCAAATTATAGTAATATATATTGTAATGTAAATATTACATAGTGATTTTAAATAGTTGCCCGAAGGCAGTGACGTCACGAACTACTGTCAAAAATGGACAAAGAGAGATGGAAGGGGAAGCAAGAGCCATATATTTGGGCAGAAGGTAACCAGCCGGCTAGAAAAGATCATCAAGACGCACAGAGAGTGACAGGTGACTAACAAATAGTGAGTGTTTAGACAGGAAAATAGAAGATTGTAGAATTTGAATACAACAATACAGAGGAAGATTCACTGCAGAACAGGGTGAGTAAAATATAAATAGTGACAGCTAGAAAGCGCGCCAAGAGTATACCATAACAGAACTGATTGGAAATTCATAAATGCTATATAAAATTAATGTATGTTTTTATATTGTATAATTGAGGAATGTGTGTTTATTGTCCTACCCAACCTGAAAAATAATCTAAAATAATTATTGTGTAAAATAAATATAATTTGGTTCAGAAACTGTTTGTTTACTTTTCAAAAGAAACATAACCTAACAATATGAATCATCAAGTTATGTTTTCTTTGTTATATGGTTGATGCAATTACTCTATTTTTATAACTTTAATGCTTTTAAATTTTAGGGCAGGAAGTGATTCTGATCTTTCGCCTCCCAGGAAAAATAGGAACCAAGAGAAAACAAAGAGGTATGAATTATTTATTTTTATCTAATGAAATAGTGGTTTTATAATAGATTTATATTATTATTAATTGTTTTAACTTCGGTTTATTAGGAGAGGAGCTGATTCTGAATTTTCATCTTCAAAAAATAATCTTGAAAGAAATGATAGGAGGTAATTTAGGTTTAAATATAGATAGTCCATTATTTATACATGAATGACTTTTATTGATGAGATTTCATCTCATTCATTCAAGGATCGAATTGCTCTTATAATAAAAACTATGGTGCTGAAAATTAACTAAAGTTGCATTATTTCTTTTAGCTTACATTGGAGATATAATATTGTATTATATAATCATCTATAAAACGACAAAGTATTAAACTTTCATTCAGCCTCCAGTGACTTTCAATACCGATTATCGACAGATAAGTGTTTGGCATTGCCAGATTTTGATAATATACTTCATAGGTGGGGAATATTTTTATTATTAGAGGCCACAATAAGATTAGGCAGTGCTAACGAGGTCGCAATAATTCATTATAGTTTACCATTGCTATTTTTATTTATCATTAAATATACATATCCACATACATACATTTAACCTAATTCTATTAATTTCCAAATAGTCATTACTTAAATAATTAAATATTTATCAATTCTCGCGTTAGATTAATAAATATTGTGCAAAAACATTTGCAGGCCTCAACTACATCACAGTAGCCACATGGGGCCTCCGAGACCACGGTTCCCTACCTATGATATACTCCGCGCAGAGTGAGGATGAATTTGATTTTGGGTGTTCATTACTAAGTTTTATGAAAAAAAAATATTTTTTTTCACCTTTGTACATCAAGTTCTGCTAAATTGAACTCCACATCTGAATTATCATTGTTGTTTATAGTTTAATCTCCTCAAAAACTTAACGCCTTTTGCTCAAAACTATTTTAAACTTAATCTCGCCATAAGGCAAAGTGATTTATTCTTTGCTTCATGATTTTTCGCCCCATAGTATAAATAAACTTAGAGCTGAATGATAGAAAATATTTGTACATGTAGTCTGATAACTTTCTGAACTGGCTCAATCCATTTTTTCATAAAATGTTTTTATTCTACTTTTTCAAAACCCTCAATGTACTTCATCACCTAGCAATGGTATATTGAACAAAAATGATTCAATATAGTCTAAAAATAGATTTAAATTTATATGGTTACCTAGATCGAATAGGGCATATTCATAAGATTTTTATGTCTACTCAAGAAATAACTCTTTAATATTAACTGTAACTTAATGCTGTGTTTCAGCATTAAAAAAGCAAATAAGGAAGTTTTAATTCCTAGAATTTCTACGGATTGAGCCTGTTTCGAAAATATTTATCTCTTGTATTAAACATTAATTGCTTTATCTATTAAAACAAGGTAACATGAAATATAAAGTTTAGGCAATTGAAATTACCTAACTATATATTTTTTAAATTATTTTCTAGACATCACAAAGATTCTTCTCGTGCATTTCATGGAAAGAATAATCATATGGATGATGAAAATAGGTAATTAGGTTAATATTTCTGTAATGTCATGCTTAAATTATATTTTATTTATTATAACTTTTAAAATATTTTTTATTTATTAGTAATCTGGTTGTATTTTATTTTTTAGGGCAGATAAAACCCTTGATGGAAAGAAAGCAGGCTTACAAGATGCCAAAAATTTGAAAGATGAGTTGAGGAAATTAAAGGAACAAGAGAATGCCTTGTTTGAAAAGGTTGGTTTCATTACTGAATAAAAAGAGAAAAAAAATATGTATGTGTGCCCATATTAACATATTTTATAATTTGATTATAGTGATAGTTAGCATAGATTTTATATTTTACTCAAGTAGTATTTACTTTCTTTTAAACTTGTTTGTGGAAGATATCAGATACTTGTAAGTAAAATTAATATGTATACACACTATTTTTTATCGATTGTTTTCTTCAAATTTTTATTGTATCTACTCAATCTAGATGAAAGCTAGTGTTTCTGGAAAATCTGCTGCTGTTATAAAGAGAGATAAAAAAACAGGAAAGATACGAGATATTGATAAGGAAAAAGAAGAAGAAGTGAAAAAGTCTGCTAGAGTTACGGAGAGAGAAAATAAATATGCTAGATGGGGAAAAGGGTATGTTTTTCTTATACTATGGCATTATTTTGAAAATTACTAACATATTATTGTTTTTAAAATACTTATTTATTAGTATATTTTACTCTGACTTGGATACATCTTTCATTAATAATAATAAAAGGCATTGCGAACCCGAAAGTTTGATACCGATACCACCAATTGCTGTCTACACACCTCTCTCCACCAGTTGTTGTCCAAACCCAGTCTTTTCAGATCGATCTTAACGCCATCTTCCCACCTTCACTTCAGTCTACCCCTTGCACGTTCACCAGTTGGCCCAGCGAATATTTACCTTTTAAGAATTCTTTCGTTACTTAGTCCAACAATTTTACATGCCCATTTAATTCACCTGAATGTAATCACCTGAATTACATTAACCAGATGCAATTTAAGACCTTACTCATCCCTTGATGTAAGTGGCCACATTTCGCATCCATAAAAAACCGTAGGTAAGATAATGGTTTTATAGGTTCTAATTTTTAAATTCAGGGACAGGAGGCGCGAGCTAAATAGTTTTGTCACAGAAAAATAACAAGCATTTCACTAAGCATAACCTTAATCTCCTCTTTAATTTTGTTTTTCCTAGTTATTTTACACCCTAGGTACTTAAACTTCTTTACTTGTTGAAGCATATTCCCTTCTATATCAAGCTGTTTCATTTTTAACGTTTCAGAAGTTTTTGAGATTGTCTTTGCTAGGATTATTTTGAGATTTTAATTTTAATTTTCTTTTATTACACTTGTTTGAACGATCTTCATCGAACCACGACTTGTTCTTATTATTATTATTTTTTCAAAGACACAAGTTTCCGACCACTTTAATATTATCCTTGATCTCTACCCATAACTTTATCATCGTCTATATCATCGCAGTCCTTGTCAGAAGGTTATAAAGCTTCAAACCTATTCTTGACATCTTGTTCAAATTAAGTTCTAATTGATGGATTGTTTAATTTTTCCAAATTGAAATTTTTGATATCGAAATGCTTTTCTTTTCTCTTTTTTACATTAAGTTTTTGTTGAAGTTTTGCAATTACTAATTCATGATCCGACCCACATTCTGCTCCGCAATAAAACCGTACATTAATTATACTGCTTTGCCAGCCATGTTGTATCAAGATATGATCGATTTGATTTCGTGTTTGTGAATCCGGTGATGTCCAGGTATATTTATGAATATCCTTATGTTTAAACGTAGTACTTTTAATTATCAGGTTTTTTGAGATGGTAAAGTTCATCAGATGAATCCCATTATCATTACTATATTAATCATCCTTTACTAATAGACGGAAAATAAACTTCTTGCCTTCCCACTTTTTGTTCGCTTCTCTTACAACTTTAATTTTTTTTTTATAAAATAATATAGTAAAAAAATGCAAATAAGTTTGATAAATTGAAATGAAAATCATTACTTTATCTTTTTTTTTTTTAATTGTCTTTTGAACAGGCTGTAAATACGTGACTAAAATAATTTCATTTCATTACATTCTTTTAATTTTAGTCGCATATTTGCAGCATGTTCAAAATACAATTAAAAAAAAAAAAAAAAAAAAGATAAAGTAATGATTTTCATTTCAATTCATCAAATTTATTTACATTTTTTTACTATATTATTTTATCAAAAAAAAGTTACCATTTAAATTGATATAGATATTAATATACTCATACCCATTAACAATACTCAAAATCATTAACAAATTTCAAGATTCTCGCCTTATATATCGACCATGTTATGCCAGAAGGGCCGATTTATTTTTCTTAATATCATATTGAAAAGATAAATGAGCCTTTCTGCAAACTAAACTGTGAACATGATTTGGATAATATAATAAATTCATCATCAAATTACATAGAAAACTAAAAAGTAATGACAATATCAGAAATACATATGTGAACTGCAAATTGGCTCACAATATTGCACAAGGTCAATATTTTATTTTTAATTCAATGTAATGATCATATTTTAAACTAATTTAGTTAACTTGTTTTTAATTATGATAATATTAATAAGTATTTGTTTTTGCTTAGTTTGAAACAAATTGAAGAAGCTGAGGAAAGAGTAGCTGATTATCTTCATGAAGTGAATAAGCCTTTAGCTCGTTATGCCAATGATCAAGATTTAGATAGAATGTTAAAAGCCAGGGATAGGGAAGGCGATCCAATGTTAGATTATATAAGAAATAAACAGTCTGAATCTATTGATGTGGATAACAGAGGTATTATTTAATGTAGCTATGTCTATAAAACTGTGCATTAAATATGATTTGAAATGATTTTGGTTTTTTAAATAGTAATACCATTTAACAATATGAAAGTTTCCATTAAAGGATATACTGTATTCGCAAGATTTATTAAAACTCAGTTATCTTTTTACATCATATGATGCGAAATATTCTAATTTAAATTATGAAAGGTATTATCAAACTTTATTGGGGATTTATATGCTAATGAAGTTACTGAAAATTTTTTGATGTGATTCTGATGACATGTTAAAATTTTAATGTTAAAAAGTTTACTAATAATTCTTATTATTATTACTGCTGTTCATGGCTGAGACAGCTTATGATATTTTTCAATAGAAAAGAGAAATATTTCATGTAAAATTTAATAATCCTGTTTGTGTTTCAAGTGATACTTATTTATTATGTTCTATAGAAATTAAGACATTTTCATAGTAAAAGTGAGACAAAGTTCAACTTTGTCTCATTAAAATTTTGTTTCTAATTCCAGGTGTTAAATTCGCATCTCACATACTTTTTTTAATATTACAGGTAAACCTACATATCAAGGATATTACTTACCAAATAGATTTAATATCCGTCCTGGTCATAGATGGGATGGGGTAGATAGATCAAATGGCTACGAAAAACAATGGTTCGAAAAGCAAAATGCAAAGAAAGCATTGCAGGAAGAGGCTTACAAATGGAGCACTTCTGATATGTAACAGGTCTGTGATTTAATTATTATTTTAATTGCAATTAAGTAACATTTTTCTTTTCAGCATGAAAAAAAAATTTTCTTTACACGTATGTGTATATATATAATCAGTCAATAATCTAAAAAATAATCAGGTAAAGCTCATTACTGAATCACTGTTTTGGATCTTTTATTGGTCAGATTAGGTATTATGAAGTTTTGCAAATGTCATACTGCCTATGTGTCAACATTCTGCAAAACCTGTACTATCATTTTACTATATTATGTTATATTTTTCTCATTAAGTTTATTGATTGGTCTGGCTCATTGGATAATTCTGGCAGTTTCTAAACCTAGAGATGAGATCTTGGTTGATGCACTCTGCTGTCAGGAGATCATTGAAGAACTACTGTTGAAGAAGATAGAGATGGTATTTCAATGGATCCTAGGATACTGTAGACTGCCTGGAAATGACATGGTGGACACTTTAGCAAAAGACAGAGCTGCAAAAGTCCTGACAGAGAACAAGTTGACATACCATAGAGCATGGAATGAAATAGAGAAATGCCTACAAAATAAACAAGTACTGCTTGCGGTAAACGATGGGCTGTGTTACATGAGGAAGACTGGTGCATCCTTATCGATAAACCACGTAGAGACAGTTGCAGAACTCAGAATGATGACTGGCCATGATCATGTTAAAAATATTTATATAAAATAAGCATAGCAGACTTACTTTACCTGTGATATTTGCAACAATGAGTCTGCCATGGATGCAACACATTTTGAATTATGTGCTTATTTGTCATAAATAAGCACTCCAAATTCCTCAGATCAGATGCCTACTAGGCTGTTTGAAGAATCATGGTGGAAGCCAAAAGGCATAAGAAAAATGAAAGTTCATTGGGTGAGGCACTATGCTCAAGGTCAGGAGATACTCCTGAGGCATATCCAAACTCTATAAAATGGATACTATTAATTAAATAATTAGTTATGAGGAAAAACTAGCAGTTGATAGTGATAACACTCTAGTTACCTCAATATTGTTTCTTAATGGTTGAGGCTGAAATGGGTACACTCATTCTTATGTTAATTACTTTTTTGTTAGCTGGTTGATCTGAAGATACAGGAGAGAATATTATTTGGTTAACATCACTAACATACTCATCTTTACTTCAACTGACTGCACATTAGCAATTTACTTTTTTTATTTGTGTTTGTCATCGACAAAAACGAAATATTTCACCTAGGTATATTATTGTTTGAATTTTCTTACTTTTTCAGGAACTTATAGATTTACATTTTAATCCATAAATAGTAACTAGGTTATTTATTGTATCTATAATGATTAATATATTTTTTTATTTAACATATTGATCGTTGCATTATTTTTAGGAAAACATGACGCTTTTCATCAATGTGATACTTAAAATGCAGTTAAAAGATGAGAAATCTAATTATTCATTGCTTTAATAATGTAATGTAATTGTTATGAAGTATTTGGTCTACATTTGTACAAAAAATATATCTACATGACAAGTTTGAAATGTGATGACTGAGTTAATTTAACAGATAGAAGTCCCAACCTAATCTTACAGAAATTGTAGTTCTTTGGCTAAATGCTTATAATTGTTTAAATGAGGGAATTTATTGTAACTATTTTACAAATATTTGTTTAAATACATGAAATATGTTTTTAAATAAATTTGGTTTATTGAACTTTTATTAAAATTTAATTTGGCCTTGATCAATTATTGTCCCGATTAAAAATGAATCTGATAAGTAACATAAGTAATGCCTGTAAAAAATTAATTTACCACTGTAATAAATTTACTGGTTATTTGAAAACATATTAGAATGAGTTAAATATATCACAATTGAACACTTAACTTAAAATGTGTATAACTTTAATGGTCCTATAATCCAAACTATACAAAAAAAAAAAAAAAAAAAAAAAAATGTATGACCTCAAAAACTGGAAGGAAGGTTGTGTGAAGTGCATATGACTGACCTACCTGTTTTGTGGCAGTCCAATTATGGAACAAGTCACAATTTTTTATTCATGGTTGTACAACCATTTTATAAGAAACTAGATTTTAAGTTAGAATTGAAACTATAAATAATGTACATATTGTAAAATTCTACCAAACTAAAAGTTGATGTATATAAAATTGTTTATTTTATATATGATAGATATTAGATAATTTTTAGTTTTATAAAATCCACAATTCTTATTTGCTCTAGGGGTTAATATTTTTTTTAAATTTGCAAAACGTTTATTGTAATTTTTTGTTTGAGTTAGATTTATAATTTTTAAAAATATACTTCAATGGTTCAAAGAATTGAGTGTTTATACTTAATAAGTTATGAAAAATTTGTTTTTAAATTAATCATTACAGTAAAAATTATTTCAGATTTTAAAAATTGTCTTGGAAATTCATATGTAGTACCATAATATATTTAAATATATTATGTTAAATGTTGTATTATATTAAATTTTAGAATAAAACATACTTATTTTCTTTATTTTTCCTTGTATTTCAGTATCATCTATCTGTCTATCTTAATGGCTCTACAGCCCTCAGTGGGGTGGGTCCTGCCTCCTCAATGAGCTTCCGCCAAATTGCTCTATTCTGTGCTGCCACTTTCCAATTCCTGACTCCCAACAGGTCTCTGGCGTTATCTGCCACATCATCTGCTCATCTAAATTTCGGTCTGCCAGCTCTCCTTGTATAGTGTAATGCCTCCTCAAGCACTCTTATCGGGATTTCAGACCTCTCCATCCAAGCTATGTGTCCTGCCCTTCCTAATTTTATCATTCTGGCCACATTAGGTTCATTAAACTATTCGTAGACCTCTCTATTCTTCAAAATTCTCCAATCTAGTCTCTCCTTTACAGGGCTAAATATTCTAAGGATTTTACTTTCAAAGTCCAAAAGGTCTTTTTTTGTCATTTTCAGTATCATAATTTATTTTATCTCCTTCATTAAAGATTTTGATAAAACAATAATTTAAATAAAATAGGAAAAGTTAGAATAAATAGTTATGTAAGAGCATATTTATGAAGTTTATATTATTTTAAAAAACAGTAACTGAGAATGCACAAAGTAAAACAAAAAATAGAAATATTTTCAAAAACTAGTATTACATAGCTATTCAGAGTTGGATCAAGGGAGAGGTAAAGTAATTTTAATTGAGTTGATATGATTTGATGATTTATATTTCAAAATACATTACCTAAAATGACTTTTACTAGGGTTGATAAAATCTTTTGGAAAAATCCTATTTTCACTGGTGATTTTTACTCTTTAATCAAGAATAGCCAAGCCTTGCGGACCGATCATATGACTTGTAGTATGAAAGTGTGTGGGTACGGTCAAATATCACATACAAAGGTTCAATCCTCCTCACAACTGTTCCTACCACTCATACAAAAGTGAATGGGACTCTTGAACTGGGCTTAAACCAGAGAAGCAATTGCGCCAGCGCCAGAATTTGGAGGATGGCTAATTTCCAGCGAAATTCTTTTTAGCTAAAGTAAAATTTCAGCTTTGTGGTTGTTTTAAACTTCATTTAGTGGATAAAGTGAGTTAATGTTGTGAAATGAAATGAAAAATATTGAATACTTGATGGATGACCGTGGTATATTATTGAGTAAGAAGATAGATGGTCAGGGGTGGTGGTCATGAAAAGACTAAAATATTAAAAAAAATATATTTTTTTTAAAGCCAATGTTTAGTCTTTTTATGACGGCCACCCCTGACCTGAGGATTTTTTCAAGAGATTTCATCACCCCTAGTAAGTAAAAGTCAACATTTTAGATCTCGTACTTCCGACGTCTATCCTCCGCAATGAGCTGCACAAATGCGACAAATCCATTGCAATTGAAGCCACCTCCCTGTAGAATTCCATCATCCCTGATATTCGACACGCACAATCAGTTATCTCTTTCAAACCTCTCCTCTTTAAACACCTACTCCTTTCTCAATCCGACTGATTACAAAATATAACTAAGAGAATTATCTAAGTACCTCAGTTTATTTAGGTTATTCTAATTTCTTATATATATACATATATACACAAGCGGACATACGGGCGGGCTTTTGGGCTGAAGCCCCCCCAAAATAGTAAAATATAATCATGTTTTACAGAAAAAATATATTAAAAACTATCTCTTAAAGTCCTGTTGTTCATGTAATTACATTTAATAGGACTTCAAGAGCCACTTAAACAACATTTCATATTGGTAATTAATTTCTTTCTTTTTTTTCTCTAATTAATTATCGTTATATCTTTATGAAAAAATAATCTTTCGGGCTGAAGTCCTCCCCCCCAAAATTAATTCTTAGAACCGCTAGTGCATATATATATATATATATATATATATATATATATATATATATATATATATATATATATATATATATATATATATATATATATATATATATAATAGGTTGAGATCTTGTATTAAGAGAATGGATAGAGGAAGGTAGAGTAAGAAATTCTAGAAATTAGGGAGACTTTTTGGTTATGAGGAGTTAGTAAAGGAAAACACCAAGAAGAAATTGGGATCAAAAAGTAGAATAGAGCCATTTCAACTCAATGTTTAAGTGGGAAACATGGCAACGACTGGGAATCATAAAGATGAAGATTAGTTTTATCTGCATTCAGCTTCATTTCACTTTTTCTGCCCATCTGTGGATACAGCCAATAATAATTATTTCGAAATATAGTTACGAAATGTTGAATTTTACTGAGGGAGGGCTGTGGAAGATCACAGAAGGGGCAGCAAAATTAGTTTGCCTATTCTGGCCAAAATTCTTTCATGGTCAGTATTGAATTAAGTCTATTTATTGATTGTTTGAGGGGTTATTGTAACAATTGTATTGACTCTTTTGATTTATATAGCACGTTCAACAATATTGTCCATAAGTTGCGAATATGCACTGTCCATAGAAGAAGCTAGGACATCCCTATTCCCACTCTCCATAACAGCATCGATTGTTTTAAACTGTAGTTATATCGATCTTACTATCGACTACCGCTCATCTCCAGTTAATAGATGGCTACATTAAATATACTCAGAATCAGGTCATGTTTCTTAGTTATTATGATGGTTAGTTATTATTGTTTTATTATTGTCAATAGGTACCTCGTACAATTTTTTTTTTATACAATTTGTAGTCAGCAGTTACTATAATTTTGGGAAGCATGTGTTGAAACGAATCAAGTATAGCTAAATATGTGTCATAAAGTTACTTGAAGTTTTAATTTTGGTGAAGTAGCTCGTCACACTCGTGTAAATTAGTACTTGTTTCTTTATGCGATCTAACTTTAAACAAAAGTTTGCCAATTTCTCTTCAGTTATTCTTTATGTGGCCTTCATTATCCTTCAAACTTTAAAAAGTACATACTAATAATTTAGTAAAGCTGGAGACAAATTTGAGAACATCTACAAACTTGCTTATGCTACTAATAGATTGATCTTAAAAATTCACTGTCTCAGCCATAATCGGAGTTTGTTAGGACTTTTGGACACGTTGAATAAAATTGTTTTTAATTCTTCTTGTAACACACCGTTGGCTATATTAATAAGTACAGCCACTTATGCTTTCGAAATCATTTCAAAACTGAAACATCTAATCAAGTTCTATTAAAGCTTATAGTCAAAGAGTTATTGAAGTCTTACTGAAATGTTGCTTTTCTTTTTCTTCCACGGCGCTGCAATTCATGTAGAATCATGACCTCTTGCAACTTCGACAGTCATTCTGATAAGTCCAGTCGCGGACTCCAAGCATAGCTCAGGTTTATTGTAATTTTATAGAACTTGTTGATCAACAAAAATTGGCTCGTGGGAAAACGCTCTAATTTACTAACAGCGGATAGTTTTGGGTGTTCATCCATTTGTAAATAAAATCTTTAAATTGGTGATCACTCTTTAATGATGAGGTAGAACACCTAAAAAATGTCATCTGTTATGTTATCACACCTGGCTGCGAAGGTTATAAGTTAAACTTTCGTATGTCCAATTCATGTCATGTCAAATTTCGGGTTAAATCAATTCTGTGTGATGATTTTAATTATATGTCCCTGTCATATCATGGAGGCTGTTAAATTGCTGGAAAATGGTATGATGCTCTTACCTATATGTTTTGTTTTTGGAATTACTACGGTATTTTTGCACTTAAGAGAGCTATTTGTTTCTTCTCTTTAACTTCAAAGATTAAAAAAAAAAATGTTTTATATTTTTAATAGTTCCTAGTTTTATAACAATGCTGTGACAAAATCAGTATTTAAAACCCAATCGTTCTTTTAAGTATTCAACGAGGATTATAATACAAGTGACTTTGTACTTTGAATTTATAATAAAAAAAATTAAGAATAAATGAATTTTAGACTTAAGTTTAGCATTTATAGCATGAAACGAATAGTTTTGTGCAAAATGTCACATCGTTTTTGCACAAGCTGGCCGAAACTACGCTCTTCACCCTTAGATTAGGTAAACAGTGTTCATCCTTTCGTTTATGGTGGGCAAAGAATATACTGCTCGTTGCTTTTACCCCGTTAGTTGGCATTATGGAGCTCTTATGAGAAGATATGTCGTCAGTTTATTGCAAAAAGTAACTAAGTACATTTTTGTGAACTTTTAAGAATGTTTTTGTGAACCGATCTTTTATCTACCAAAAAAAAAAAAAAAAAAATCAAGTTTACTAAAATGAGACAAACCCTTTTAAATATCAAATATAGTTACAGAAAAAACATGATTTTCTGATTTCATAAAGGGAAAATTCATTTTCTAATTTCTCGATGATTTCACTGTCACTGAAATGTCAATGAATAACGTTTTGCAATATGCTGATGATATTGTGCATTGTGTTAATTACAAGTAATATTCATCATTAACTCGGCCAGGAAAGATGGACGAACGTCCAAAAAATTAATAAGAATTTAAAAAATTGAGTTTTAGCAAATAAATATTTTTACTTTCACTTATCTATATATGTAATATATAGTAAGGGAAAGTATTACGGTCGAAAATTTTTTCGAATCTGAGTTTTCAACGAAATACCCGTTTTGAGGTCTGTTGATTCGAAATAACCCAGTCTCACAAAATTGACTGTGTGTCTGTATGTAAACAGTATAGCTCATAAAAACGAAAAGTCTCAAAAAACTGATATTTCGTATTTAAGATAGGTATATGGCTGGGATGTTACAGCAACTTTTTCCTTAAAATTGGCTAATCGGAAGTGCCACTTTATATCAACGGTTATACACATTTTTACAAATTAAGTGGTCTTTAATATCATGCAGGTCTTATCCCCATTACAGGGTTTAAATGCCTAATTTTAAAAGGGGGAATTAGCAAAATATGCTAAAAATATCTTTTAAAGGAATTTATTGAATAATGAAGAAAAAAAAGTTTATTTAGATCGAAAATGAATCTCTGGAAATTGTAGTCAGAAGGTATACGTATATTTCTTTGGAAAGCGGAGAATTTAACAAAAAAATATATCTAATATAGAAAGTCGTAGAAGGTACTGTTGAGTGACAAAAAAATCATAATTAATAATTTGTGAAAACTAATAACATTTAACGAAAATCACATGTTTCCAAGGAAACTAAATGGAATTTACCAACTAAATGTAAACTTTAAAAATGTTTTTTAAAAAGTATTTAAAATCCATCTAATCAAGACAATAACATTAAGAAACTATTTCATTTGTGTTAAAGAATAAGTAAAATATAAAAATATTTCATAGATGTTTAAAACATATGTTTATAACCTTATCATTATATACATTTACTACTGTTGTTTAATAATTCTAGGTCTTACAATATATTTAAATAATTAGATGTACATCGTCGATTTATAACAAATTCACTTTGTGAAATCACATTATTCACTTAAAACTAGTGTGACTAGTTTTGACCTATCGATGTTGTATTTAAAAGCAAGTAACCGTATTTTGGTAAAATATAATAATAGTGCATGGATTTGTTTATAATCTTGATTGCATTTACTGTAGTTTAATAACTCTAGAACTGATATTAATTTAAAGAATTAGGTATGCATCGCCCGTTTATTCAGATAAATCATCATGTAAACTTTAAGAAGATTAAATTAGTGAATAATTTGATGAATTTTCCCTTTGTGATATCCCAAACATTATCCACTTACTATTAGTGACAACTTTTAACCTATCTATGGCAGGCAAGCAAATCTCAATAATATTTTAGACTACTTTACAATGTCAAATAACAGTTTAATAACTAATAGTCCTGCAATCCACAGTCAACGGATCATACGATCCATAATCAACCGTTGATATAATAAATAGGGTTTTGTTATTTTAGTAGTATTAATGATTTGTTAGTGCTAGCTGTAAGCTTTAATTCTATTAAAAGTGTTATATTTTCCCAACATTGTTATAAAATAATTTCTATTCAAAGTAGAGTGGTAGGTGAAAGTTGGATATTGCAGGCACCAGATTTTTTAAAAACTATTTGCTTGCGGGAGCACATACAGCTAGAGAAGCATTATCCAACCTTACGTCGATATGAACTATGATTTCTATGATTACCGGAATCATTCAATTATTCGATAGTGCCCATTTGGAGGGTGAACGTACATTGGGAATCGATTTAGATCCAAGAGTTACTGCTGTTCAGGGTCAGCAGGTACATATTTTTTCCCCCAATGCAGACGTTCGATGGTCAAATCCCCGTTTGGCTATTTAATACCCTGGAAAACTATTATGAAATTCCGGTTAAAAATGTCCGGAATATGGCTATTACTCTTCGGCCCTGATTAGACTCCAGTAGGTTAACGGACCTCATATATCTTGGAAGGATGTTGACTAAAGTAATAATAATCAGGCTTAGCGAACCCGAAGGTTCGATGCCGATACCACTAATCGCTATGAACATAGATTTTCATGATTCTATGTTACTACTAATGAACTTATTATGTCATCATCTTACAATAATTGACGCATCTTATTCATTTTATGCCACTGACGTATCTGTTCTACTTAATATTAGATTTGATTTTATCATTTAATTATTTATTATTCTTTCTGTTTAGTTAGCTCTTTAGGAGTTAATTTCTTACGTTTTACTTTAGGATCATTCCAATCCATATCATCCAGGACCCGACACCCACCCCCCTCAGATCTTAATGAAAATTTGTAAATATAAAGTAAGTTAAAATACCAAATTTTATCCATTGTAACGATTAGTTTCAGAATTATTGGCATTTCTACTTTTAAAATATTCGAAGTTGGAGAGACATTTGAGCTCAAAACCAGCATGTACCTACCTACCTGAGGGGGTGAGTGTCAAGTTGAACTTTTTCTGTATGATATTTCATGGAATGACCCTTTATTATTTTTCATTATAGCTTAACTTATCATATATTTTTATTAATTTCATATATGATATAATTTATATATGACAAAAAATCATGTCACTTAGCTGTTGTTGAAGTGCAAAAGCCAATTATTTTCGGAAAAAAATAAAAGTGAAAATAGGCTTTTTGAATTGTAAAAAGCTAATAATAGAGTGTATGTTCGTATTATGTGTGTAAAGTATTGAATTGTAGAAAAATACTAGTAACTTGGCCGAAATTTATTTTGAAAAGTATAATTTCATAAGATGCATTCTTAAATAATCATCGAGTAATAATGTAGAAAAAAAAAAGTGTGAGCAGTTAGATAACTAAAATAGCCATTTCTCAATATTTTTGATTTGGAGAACAGATGCAAAATTATTTAATGATTCATCAATGCTTGTCTAAGAAAACTTGATTCGATTTTAAAATCAACTAGATTGTAGATTATTTTTTTTATGTCAAATAGCGATCTGGAGGTTGGGATCCTTAGATGGTCTGCATCGAGAAAATAAATATATGACTGCTGATTATGAACAACGATAATCCTTGGTTCTAGGTCTATTCAGTACTGTCCTCGACTCCTATTGTACGTTCGCCTCCGAAATGGACACTGAAGTTAGCACTGAAGTCTCCATGGAACCGGCTATGGAGTTTTGGATTGTCTGCCGCTGCCTCATGAAATCTACGATGCGTAGCGACGCACAGTGGTTGAAATTTTTTTGTTTTCGGTATGATTTTGAGAGATGATTTGGGTATACTCTAGGTTAGAAGCGAAATGGGTTCTCCCTGATTAATGGGTGTCATAATTCCTCACGGGGCACGGAGGATTTCGCCCAAGCTTCATAGCTTTGGAAAAGAAATTAACCCCCTACGTCCCTGTTGTGTTCCGGAAACTGCTGGAGTATGTCGTCACAACTTGCACTTCTTTTGAGACAATAAGGGCCAAACTACTGAAGGAAACCGGACTCTATATTATCACGGAGGACAATTTCCCTCAGCTAGTGAGCAAGGATAACTAATCGTGTACGGGTGGAAGGAACTATTGGGGGTTGATCGTTTCAACCTCGACTAATCAAGAAGATGGAAGAACGAAGAAAGTGGAAGAAGTATTGTGCTGCTTCTTCCAAAAATCTGTAGTGTCGAAAGGCAAAGAAAGATGATTAAAAATAAAAAAAAGATAGATTATAACTAATTATTTTAGTAGGTTTTTTATTTTTAATTTCTAATAATTGGCCAGCTCCACTGAAGATCGACTGGCGCCCTGAAGGAATTGCCCGGGTTGTCCCACCCTAAGGCCACCGGTATTGGAGAAGGAGGGGAAGCGAGAATGTTCTATATTTAAACTAATTTAAAGTAGAGTAATGCTTATAGGTATAAACATAGTTATTAGATCGCAAATTGTTCATATTCCAACTACAGTCTATGCAAATAGAAATAATAGGTCACCTGGTATCAATTGTGAGTTATAAGAATTATAAACATTTCCTTTGTTTTTTCTTTATTACATAGGTGAATAGAACCGTTTAGAAACAAAATAAATACTAACTGCTAATATTTTACAGATATCTCAATGATAACATATCGAACTCATGTGCATTCTAAAGTTTTACGCCGCTTGCTAACTGATCAAAAAGTTCCGATAGAAATAAGGAAGAGGAAAAGAAGATCTTTATTATACCGTAAAATTGGTTTATTTAATGGGACTGATAATCCTAATAAAGAACAGAAGTTAATGGTAGATACGTTTATAAAGTCGTCTAATGGTTTGTTCAAAAGCGAAATGGAAGCTATAGATGGCAAAGCTACCGGTTTGGAAGATAGTAATGTGGTTTGTCCGCATAAATTTGGATTGTACAAATCCCGAATGGAAAGTAGCGCCAAAATAGATACGGATTCGTCCCAAGATAAGGTAATCCATTCCGGGAGGATGAAAAGATATCTATTTCTAGATAAGGTAGGAACTATCCGACCTTTGGATCAGGTAAGAGACGGTCACGGAGCGCGGAGATGTGATCGTGATCGAAATATTAACAGGATGCGTCTTCCCAAAGAAAGAATACTACGTTGCGGGCGGAGAACTCCAATGAGAAGGCTTTATACAAACGGTTTGCACGTATTACCAAAGTTCAAAAGAAGGCTGCGGTCTTCGAATAACGACAGGCAAGTCAGATATAACCGAAGAGACTTAAAAAGTAAATTCAATCGTTTTAAAAAAAGTTTTAACAGAAGCGATTTAGGAGAAGTAGAAGACAAAGCATTAGAGAACATGTTTATTTTATATGACCCGCATTCAGATTTGAAAAATTCACAATTCATTGATGAAAAAAATAGAGGGAAATCTCGGAAAGTGCACTTAAAGAAGAGGGATTTTATGTATGGGGAACCTGGAGGTCCTTTGATGTTAAAGCGTTGTACAAAACCCAAACCTACCGTCCTAGTACAGTCAGTAAACATCGGCAAAACAGGAAGGATTTGTTTCCCGAGTACACACCGATGCATGAAGCCGAAGACGTGCCCTTGTTCTGTAGAATATCGCAAATGTCCGCCAAGGACCACATGTTGCCTCCAACCTGAGACATTGTGTTTCGAGAGCACAGAAACAAGCACCATGTCGACCGTGGGAAGATGCCAAGGAATCGACACGGAGACGCCTACACCAATAGAAGAAGGTCTGTGCATTGTAACACCTTGCCTGGAAGGGTCTAAAAAGGACGTCCGGAAACGTTGCGCCTGCGATTGTGGCTGCGGTTGCCCCCATAACCTGCGGAGGAACCACCCGGACCGAGCCCTGGCCAGGGGGAGCTGCGGCTGCGGCTGCGGCTGCGGCTGCCTCCACGGCGGCGGGGCCCACTGCGCCACCAGCAAGTCCCTCACCTAGCTCTGCCGTGACCAACTGCGTGGCCCGTCTTCAAGCATTAAATTTATACGTATCGATATTTGATTAATTATCACAACTGTTGTTGTTTTATTACTTGAATGAAACATTGCAAAGGAAAAGTATGTAACTGTAGACCAAAACAGCTTCGAAACAGTCAACAGTAATCCTCGATGTCTTCTTTGGAGGTAACTTTAACGAACCTGATAAATGTTGAACCATTAAATTTTTTATAGATTCCAAAGTTATACGTCTACAGCTCGTTTTCCATTAAATGCATGCAAGATCAAACTATGCTCGTCGTCTCTCTTCTCCTTTCTCTCGAAGGTGTTAATAACTGAATAAATGAAGTTTTTAAAATCTAATTCTAGTTTTAATTCCTATTTTTGAACCAATAAAGTACGATGAGTAGACTGTAAAATATTAAAATTCAGTTATGTTATAGTGAGTTAGAATCCAGGAACCACTAAACTGCTGGAGGCTAGCGTGCCAAATCCCAGCTGACAAGCCATTACTGAGGGCGTGGTTTAATATTCTAATGCCTTTTCTCTAACCAGCTTCCCACAACCCTTTTACAAATATTCGAAATTTCTCTTTATCTAACTTCAACGGCTTAGGATATCATCCTTCAAGAAACAAATTATAATAAATCATTTTATGGCCGAAAAGGGCGATTGTGCCGTTTCTGTGATTATTGTATTTTTTATTTTAGAAAAGTTACAAACGCACGCATTGCTTGTTGTATTGACATATGGAAGTTGGAAAACAGATTTATTAGTTACAAATTCCAAACTCTGTACAGTCAAAAAGGGGTGGAATGAGAAGAAAAACAAAAGCACCCTGAACGTATATATTAATGCAGCGACGTAGATTAATCAACATCGAGATTGCCGCCATCCTTTGTCCCCTTTCAGCTTCACGTATTTGGGTCAAATCCTATTGAACTATTTGTTTTTTATTTAAAAGAATATTATCTTAATAAACATTATATATATTTTTTATGTTGGTGCTAACGTTGTTGGCGCCATTCACTCGACCTGTTATCTATACCTCTTATTAAGATCATGTAGTTTAAAGTAGGCACTAAGGAGATTAGTGAAATAAACATCAGAAACCACAGACACCGGCACACACAGTGGATCGATGACCGATCTAGGTGGACAAAATTCCTTGACCATAATTTTCTAATGTAAATCATGTATTTGTCACAAATAAATATAAATAAGACTTTTATGGTTTAAATTTATTTAATATAATATTAATTTATGGTAAAATTTTTTTTTCAGAATTATTTTTAAAAAAATAGTACCAAAAGATTACTATATATTTTTAATATTTGATAAACTAGTAACTATACAGTTTTAATTCTTACCAAAATAGAATAAATAAATCTTTATTTCTTTATATTTTTCTTCATGTTAGTTATTCTTACTTGGTTCTCATTTTCCTAGAATAATCAATTTTTTATTTGTTGCTTTTTTTCCTATCTGTTTTATTTGTTTTATTTATTTATTTTTTTGTTCTAGACATTTTGAACATAGTTTCATCAGCTTGTTACATTTTTTTTGTATATTTATTAGTTTACATAAGATTTTGTATATTACTCTGTTCTGTAACATTTTGTTATACTTAGGGACTTTCTCCCAGAATAAAGTAATTTCTATATTTAAAGTCATTTAATAAAGTAATTATCATTAACATAATTTTCGATTGGGAATCATTTATTCGTCACAAATAAATAAAAAAGAGACTTTAATGGTTAAAACTACTTAATATAACATTAACTTTTGGTAAAAATACAAAAAAAATATATATATTTCCTAGAACTTAAAAAAAAAAATATTTTATGTAATAACCATAATTTACTATTGGAGATCATGTATTTGTCACAAATAAATAAAAAATAAGAATTTTATGAATTAAAATTATTAAATACTTAATATAACATTAATTTATGGTAAAAATATATTTATTTCCAGAGAACTTTCAGAGTAAAAAAAAATAACAATAACGTAAATAAAAGAAAAATATTGTGTTTTCAAATTAATTCAATTGATTTTCTGATCCGACATCTATCGACATCCGTAGGAAAGATACTCTCTGATAAGAAGTCCAAAATCGCTTTCTAAGTGCAATTAAAATTTCCCGTTTATTTCCTTGGATTTACTCTTTCCTTGTCTGCCCAGTACGAAAATGTTTGCATTCTTCTAAAATCCATAATCCCGTAAAAATGTGGTCTCTCGAAATTTTTTGGACGCAACTTGGGCCATGCAGACCTCTCCTGGGCACCCCTACTGTATTGTATCATTTAACAGAAACCATTATTCGGTCTCCCTGTTCCCTCCAAACCTCGAGAAGAATGGTCTAGAAAATATACTTTAGCTATGACAAATTTTCTCTGAAAAAATAAATCATTTTCCGAGCATTTTTTTAAACGTCATTTATTTTTTATCTAAATAGAGCAAAATTGTCTTTCTAACCTGCATACATTTTATTATATAATTCATAACATGTTTTAATAAGATTAAAAAAAAAATTATTCCAAAACTTTACTTTATGTTTTTTCTTGGACATTGGTTATAGTGAGGTACGATGACATTCACACTATATGTACAAAAAAATAAAATAAATAGAACAAAATAATAATCAAAAGTATATACAATAGATAATAAAATAAAATAACCTAAAAAATAAGAAAATTAAAACTAAGAAAACAAAACACATGCATACCTATATACAATCAGGCGAGGGAATAATTAAATAATAACTAACAAATAATTAAAAAAAAAATCTGGTTAGTGCAAAGCTGCGCAAAATTTGACTTATGTTACTTTAAAGAATATCATAATATAATAAAGAATATAATAAAAAATGCTACAAAATGAAAAAAAAATGTAGTGGTGGGATACCGGTAAGGGTATTTGACAGACCATATAAGTAAGCATTATTATCGTATTTCAAAGAATTCATTTAAGCCATTTTTCACATGCAATTTTAACATACATCAAACTGGTTGAATCTAAATTAACCAATGAAAAAGAAAGATAATTAACTGAATTATCAAAAGCAGCCTTGAGCAACAACACACACAGACTATGTTTTAATCTGTACATAAAGTGATACTGGAACTATTTGTCAACTGGTGAAAATGAAGGCCTTTCTCTTCCGTACTCTACTGTGGGAGTTCAAACGTACTTTGAAATTTTACGAGGCCACTTTTGAGGTCCTATCTACCTATAACTGTCTTTATGACCCACTGTATGCAGTAGTAAGGAAAAGAATGGCAATCGTGAAAATTTTTGAATCTGAGTTTTCAACGTTTTGAAGTTCTCCGAGTCCAAATAAACAAGTCCTACAAAATGGTCTGTGTGTCTGTGTGTATCTGAAAAGCCTAGAAAATGAAAATTCGTACGAAACTTAAATTGCGTATTTAAGGTTTTTATATAGTTCCAATCTGCCAATTCCAATTCCATGTGCCACTTTATATCAACGGTAAAACACATTTTTACAATTTTCTCAAAAACGGCTTCTACGATTTTGATTAAACTCGGTGTATATCATTGTATAATTATGTGGTCTTTAATGTTATTTAGGTCTTATACTCATTGATATCATTTAACAGAGCTTAAACGCCCAATGTTCAAATACGTCTCCCTCTAAAGTACCTTTTATGTGAACTATATAAAATAATTAACTCTCTTTTATTGACAGGAAATAAAACAAAAATGGCTAAATATGAAGTTTGAAAGAATATGATAATTGGATTTGGAGGAAAAAATGAAAATGCTTATCCAGGTTGAAAATGAATCTCTGGAAATAACAGTCAGATCGTATACGTATAATATGCCGTTGGAAAGCAGAGTATTTTGGAAAAAATAATATCAAATAAATAAAGTTAAAAAAATATATATAAATAATAATTTCAGAAAACTAACATTATTTAACGTAAATCACATGTTTCTATGGAAATTAAATGAACATTTCTTACTAAATGTAGACTTTTAAATTTTTTGAGTTAAGTTTGAAAAAAGTATTTAAAATCCACCGAATCAAACCAATGCCGTTGTTTAAATTACTATTTCATTGTATTTGTGTGAAAGAAGTGAAATATAAAAATATTTCATCGATATGTTTATAACCTTAAATACATTTACTGTAGTTTAATAACTTTAGATAAGATATTATATTTAAATAATTAGGTATCTATTGGCCGTTTATTCCAAAAAATCATCATGTGACCTTTTAGAAAATTAAATTAATGAATAGTTTGATGAAATTTCCTTTTGTGATATTCCAAAAGTATCCACTTACCATTAGTGTGACAACTTTTGACCTATCCATGGCAGGCAATGGAGTCTCGTAATTTCACTATAGTAAACTTTACAATGGAAAATAACATTTTAATAACTAATGTTCCTGCAATCCATAATTATTTACAGGTTAAATATTCAGATGTACTTTCAAATCGTTCTGGACATTTATGAGCCTTTCGGTTGACAGAATGGCTTAACTTCAATTTCAACATTCTTTATTATTAATTTTAGTGATGTTTCTTGTGGCAAAATGTATACCTTTATTCACAGTTCTATATTTCAACACTGCAATCACCTACTCTGGAATCAACTTACTCACTGTCTATATAGATATAACTTTTTCTATTAGAAATATCATTAAAATGACTACTAAAAAGTGTTGAAATTGGAGTTAGTCATTCTATCAACTGAAAGGCTCACAGACTGAAGTTATGTGGTTTGTAAAATCAGATGGAGACATTTGATTTTTATTGCCTACCGTCGATATAATAAATAGACAATTAGCGTGACAACTTTTGACCTGTATATGACAGACAATGCAAATCTCTTAATTCCGTTTTAATAAACTTTGCAATGGAAAATAACAGTGAAGTAGTTAATAGTCGCACAATCCATAATCAACGGATCGTACAAACCATAATCAACCGGTGATAAAATAAATAGGACTTTTGTTATTTTAATGGTATTTATGATTTGTTAGCTGTAATTTTTTCGTTTCAGATCCGTTAAAAATGGAATAAAACATTTTTATAATAGCCCAACATGGCCAGAAAATAATTTCTATTCAAAGTTGAGCGGTAAGTCCAAGTTGTGTGTTGCGTGCACCAGATTTTTTCCATGTTAAGTAGTAGTTTGATTTGGTTCTTAGGGCGATAACAAATTTGAACATCTAATGAGTTGGAATCTATTATGTTGGAAAGTGTGCCGACTGGTATGTGATATTGTTTAAAATAATAAATATATATTAATGTCTCGAAGATGAAGGATTATTTCTCCATGCCTTATCCATACACCTGTTACCGTTTGATTACTCAGTAATGCCATTGCAATGACTCCTTAAAGAAATATTCGCATACTCAGAAGAATTTTTTTTTGTATACTTCAAGGTTGGTATATGTTGAAATATTTTCATAATATTTACGGCTTTAGGATTTTGTTTTTATTATTTCTTTAGAATTTATGTTCTTTTTTATTTATTAGTTGAAACCTAATAGATAAGTTTTCCCATTAACATCGATTAGTGTTAAAATATTACCTCTACTGTACGAAACATTTCATGTCATATTGCATCTTTAACGAATGATAGATTAAAAGGAAAGCAGATTCAAAAAATTTCTAATTCTTCTATTCTGAAGATTTGTTTTTTTTTTAATCTAGCATTATCTGCCATAAGAGAGCAAACCTTCCACATCAAAGCACTTCACGAAGCTTTTCTCACAACAATGACAATTAATTATTTGTTTACTTGATTAAATTTGCTGGATTTAAGCACACAAATTAAAAATTTACAAAATATAAAATAATTGTTCATACAATAAATAAAGTACCGCCACAATAATTCGTCCATAACAGTTAACCTCGTGAAAGAAAATCATAAATCACACATTAATTATATAGATTGGTCTTCTGGTTTTGTTTGCAGTATTTTGTGTGTTTTTTGTTTTTTTTAACTGCTTGTTTTATGCTATTTGAAGTCAACATTATCGTTATTCTTATGTTATTTTGTTGCAAAGGATGATTGGATATTTTATGTTTTTATAATGGATTGATGATAATGTAACTTTATTATAACTATTATTAAAAAAATTAAATAAATATGGATTTATTTGTAACCGGCCGATAATAATATAACGAGTGGCAATGTATTTTCAATATTTAAAGATTTTGCAGAAATGTAATGATAATAATACTTCGTACTTATCTCATTCATATTCTTCCTATATAAATTCTTATCTTCTGAGATTTCGTAGAACAGTTACTCCTAACGTAATCTGAAATTTCATACTGGGTATTTACATGGAAAGGAGATGGTCCTGATAACAGTCAACCATTCGAAACAGACTGGTCCGCTACAATTATCTGGGATAACATTATCGAATCAGTTTAATTTGACTAAAGGAAAAATCTTTATAATAATGAAACCTGTCCCTGTTCAAAATTGTATAAATGTTAGTTGTCATCTTAATAAGGTTATTTTTAAAAATTCAGTCTCCTTTTCACCTCCTCTCTTTTCTTCCTTGGGTTTTCGAACACGTGATAATTACGGTTACAATAGCTGAGTTGTATTTGAAGCTAAAAAAGGAAATTAAGTAAGAATTTTCGTTTTAGTTCTTTAGACTGTCGCTTTAAAAGTATATTTTAAAATTTATTTATTGTATTATATTCATGTAATGGGACCACCATGATAGAGTAATAAAATATTTTTTATTATTATTATTGATTAAATACATTTCAGGCCAGTCTCGAATAATTCTTTTTATTTTTATTCTTCTATTCTATTATATTTTTTTGATGTTTCGGCTATTTAGCGTCATTTTCAAGTCTATCTTGCGCCTTATGCATATCGTACATTTTATCTATCCTAATCTTAAAAAAAGAAGGCATCAACAAATTTAATACTTTGTTAGAAATTTCATTTGGTACCTACGGTTTCAAATTATATATTGTAAAAAAAATATAATATAGAATAGAACAGAAACGTTTTATTAGCTTAATATACCTCGTAGCCACGGAGTCTGGCGCAGGTGTTAGCAGTGTTAGTGTTAGCAGGGATTAGTTTCATGAGTACAGTATAAGCAGGCAAAAACAAAAATATTTTTATATAACAAACATCATAAATTTTTTTTATTATTTTAAATATTCCCATATTTTATATATTCCAAATATATTTTATATTTTATTTCCAAATATTTTTACCATTCATGTATAAATATTTTTATATAATAAATATCATAAATGAATAAAACATATTTTAGAAGAATGTCCTTTTTACACCGCAAGATTAAAAGACCTCGGAATACCCCAGAATATATCAGCATCCCTGATATATCCCCCCCGGAAATCAAGAAGAAATCGTTACCAAAGTCATCAAGTTCCTGGATAGTGAGACTTAAAAAACACATATGACAGGCTTATAATTAATGATCCTTTGCAGATTTATTATTATTTTTTAATTTTTCTATCTATTTATTTTTATTCTATTTTCTCTTATGATTATTTTTTTTTTATTTTATTTTTTTTTTCATTTGATTTCATTTCATTTTAAATTCATTTGTTTATTAATCTCAATTCATTTATTGATTTTATCGCGATTTTTTAAAGTTTATTTATTTATATATTCTATCTTATTACCTATAAATATCTATTATTAACCTTATTTATTTATTTTATTCTATCAATCCATTTCTTTATTTCTTTATTTCTTTATTTTTATTTTTTTTTGTACCAACCATCCAAATAGTATTAAGTGATGTTATTTAATTGATCAGGCTCTTATGACTGGATATTTTGCGTCTAGGCATCGAAACAAACAAACAAACAACTAAAGAAAATTTAGTACGCAGAACATAACTAAGGAAACAAATTGCAGAGATTAAATAGGAGAGATCTTAGGATTACAAACGCACATGAAGATACAAATATTAATAAAAGGAAGTGTACGCGGCTAGACAATTTTGAAAGGCTGTGGCACATTATCATAAGCCATCACCGCTTTAAATAAATAATATTTTCAATACTAATGTTTAGAGATTACTGTTATGAGAATTGAAAAAAAATACGAATAATATGCCTGGAGATCATCAAAATTTACAGTAATTAAATCACAGTTATATAATAATAAAAAAAATCAATTGAATTAAACAACATACAAAATAATAAATCTTACAATTAGTCATTTCAATATTAATTTTTAAATGATTCGAACGTGGACTGATCCACACGATTTTTTGAGGACATGGAAGGGAGCGGGAGGAGGGACGAGCAACCTGTTAGAGGGGAGCCGGGAGGGGCGGGGGTAGGAGGCGGTCCCCGGGTCAGTCCTCGCCGGGCAATGGAGGCGTTCAGGGTCCTTCCCCCGCTGAGCGGGCAGCCGCCCCCGCCGCCCCCGCGCAGCCCCAGGGTGGCCCCCAGGTACGTCCAGCAGAAGGACAGCAGTGCCTTCGTGGTCCTGGCAGAGGTCGGCGCGGGGGCACCGCCCTCCAGTCCCTTCCGGGGTCGTGGGTTCAAGGGGTCGGCCTCCAGCAGGATCCCTGTCAAGTCGGCACCCACCAGCCCAGGACCCCGCACGCCCAAACCTCTCGCCGGAAAATCTGCCCCGAGTAGTCCTTCGAAGCACGCTCCGGCCAAGAGATTTGTAGCTGCCAAGCAGCCGCCTTCGCCTAGAAAACCTGCAACCAAACCAGCAGCACGGCCCAGGTTCGTACAGAAGACCGGACAAAAAGATGATCCCTCTAGGACGATTCTAAAGAAGACAGGTGATATTGAGAATAAGCCCGTTAAAAAAAACAATGACAATAATGATCAGACATCCAATAACAAAAAGTCTAACGAGAAAACGGCCCAACCGGTTACAGCGCCAAGTGAAAAAGAAGCCCGAAGAGTAAGGCAGTTGAATAATACAAATTCAGTGTCAAAAGGAACTTCAGAAAAGGGTAGCGCTCCCAGTGCCACGGGTACCAGTTTAGCGGCACCTCGAGGTGGTAAAGCAGCGATCGAGAGAGCAGCTGTCATCATGGATCGGGTGAACAGGCTACGACCAGAAAGGCAGATGATAAACAGCACCAGGACGGTGAAGCGCAACAGTTTGAGAAGCAGGCAAGAAGCGACTGATGCTAATTCCAAAGTCGATAAGAATACTAATATGGCTACTACAACTGACTTGCTTAGAAACGTTAAGAAAGTTACAAATACTGAAAGTAAATCAGCAAATTTAGAAGATGTTACACAAGGGAAAGGCGAAATTGAAAAAATCAGCTCAGGAGGTATGATCTCTACAACCGAGGGAAATTATCTGAATTCTGTAGATAATGGGATAACTCAACTGACCACCAATGAAAAAGAAACTGAAAGAATAGATAGCCAGATCGAAACTAAGACTGCTATTATTGATGTAAAACCTCAAGAAAAGTATACTGAAAATGGCAAAGCCAATCAAATGGAAGCCACATCTACTCTTTCGCCCCACGACAATACTCTCGATTCATCGGCACTAAACAGCAAGATGACCAATTCGGCCAGTATGAACCTGATAACACCGAGTGCCAACCCCATTGGTGATGTTGAGGATAGTAGTAGCACTTCTCAGTCATCGTCGCAGCTGACATTAGTGACGGGAATTACGAAGGTGAACGTAGAGCCCGTGAAGGAGAACACCGTTCCTGATAAAACACCATACGAAGTTGACAAAATCACTTCACAGTTTGAAGAATCAGTCGAGAAAAACGTTGAAGAAACTGTGAACTCTGGTGATAAAGGTGGAGTAACGATTAAAGCAGATATACTAAGTGATGTGACACCAAACGGTGTATTACCTACTAAGAAGGAGGCCATCAACATCCCGAACGGTGGTGAGAAGCTACAAAACAAAATAATTATCATGCAAAGCGACAAGAATGGCAGCGTGAAGGTGATTGGAAGCGAGCCGGTGAGCTTGGACTTGGAGGAGGCGATAAGGGAGAGCATCGTGACGGAGACGGCTGTGCCGAGCGAGGACCTGCTGGTCCGGAAGCAGCCCGACCTCATACCCTCGGCCCAGGTGGAGGAGCCCGCGGTGACTGTCATCGGCCAGCCCGATCTGGAGGTCCAGGCTGGAAACCACACCGTCACCTTCAGGTAACCTTTTACAATTTACTTTTTACAAAATTTATTAAAAAATCTCGTAAACTGTGATGTTGCTTTTATAGATTTATATATATTTTGATTAATTAGAACTCAAAGAATTTGTATGTTTCATTGTGAAACTCCTTACAGTTCTATTGAAATCTCCAATACAAGAAAAAAAATAGTGTTTATATAATCACCGTCGCATCTATTGTGATGGTTTTAATAATCATTCCAAAGCCAAACAAACATTTTTCACATAACCTAAAAATAAAATTTCACTTTAAATTTGCTGTCTCCTTATTCAGGTCATGAGGTTCGTAGTAACTGAAGCAACACTTCGAAGGCAACGATTGGGTTCTGTAACCTACTCCGATGTTTACTTAACATTCATATCATACTATTTTCATTAGCTATACCACATTAAGCATTTTAATGGTCATTAAATTAATTTTATGTTAATAAATCCAATTATGAATTTACATAATTTTCTAGAATGAACATTTCACTTTTAAAATAACTTAGTATTTTTTATTAGTATATAGGGCGACTGATAATGCTTTTCTATAACCGTATTCCAATGATATTCTATATATCTCAGAGATAGTTAATAATAATGTGTGTAGCCTAAACATAATTAATATAACAATTAATAGGTGATTATCTATTGTGGCTGTTATGAACAAGACAATTTTTAATTCATTATAGAGGCATTTATCCATATTTATATGAGCTAAAAATGTTGATACTTTCTTATATATGTATATATGAGTAGTTGGATGTAATAGTGATGTAAGTCCTTTTCATAATAATTAATTAATTTTAAGTATTTTAACATCATGCTTCTAAATAGTTCATACGCCTGAGACCTTTATTATTAACTCAGAAAGTATTATCTTATTCATTATACATCGAAATATTTGTAATTATCCTTTACCTACCTTTATTAAATTTCCTTTATTAATATGTTGAATGTTTCTAGTTTCAGTTTTTGACTTATTCGCTTTTGTATTTAACTGGTCCATATATGCTCGTATATAAATATTTACATTCAATGGAGGCTAACTTCAGATTAATTTTGTAAACAAAATTAAATATTAAAATATTTAAAAAAAATTAATAATATTTCTTAAAAAATAATAATAAATTCAGAGTTCCAGATAACAGCATAAATTGGATATTTAAAAAAAGTAATTCTTTGTTTGTGAGTTCTTGTTTAATTTTTTTTTTATCTTAATCATTGGTTATGCATCATTTTTTGTTTCTCATTATTGAGAGGTTGGATAGTTTCTAAGGAGATGCAAATGCGGTTTGATTGTTGGGAGGAGGGGAACACGCTATAACCTCATCAAAGCGTTCAATTTGCTTAACTCTCTATGAAGACTACATGAAAAGGCTGTCTTAACACAAAGGGTAAATATAACCCGCTATAAAACTTCAAGGTCACTGATTTAAAAAAAAAAACTTCCTGATAAAGTAAGCAATCTTTTCTTTTAAATGCCTCTATCAGAAGAAGAGAACAAAAAGTTGAGGGTCTGTGCGTGTTTACTTGTGAGACAGGTACCGGAATTTTTTTGTTTCGAATTTAAAATGTTTGCAATTCAAACTTTGTTTTTAGTTTATTAGGAGTTAATGACATTGTATTAACAAAAGAAGGAGGGTTAGAATGATATTAGATTATGTCAGTCTTGCTTTTATATTGTTCACTATTTATAACAGCAATGTCGTATCATTAAAGTGCATTATTTTCGTTTTATTAACAAAAAGCAAAACAGCCTTCCTCCAATGTACAGAAAACACAAAGACCACCGCTAAACAAAACGTGAAACAAATTTACACTACTATAATTTTAATACCCTCAAATAACTATTTAAAAACAGTTATCAGCTAATCTTTATTCAATAAATCAATCTAGCAACTAACCAATTTGTTCCAAAATATTTGAAAAATTCATATTCAAAAGACTTGTTGACATACTTACTGACCAAAAAAATAATTCCTGACCATAAATTTGTCTTTCGCACATTCCATTCGACAATGCATCAATTACACAGAGTTACAGACTACGTTGCTGCAGCTTTATAACAAAAACTGTATACAGCTGGTGTATTTTTGGATGTGGCTCAGGCATTCGACAAAGTCTGGCACCAGGGTCTTCTCTTCAAACTGAAGTCCATACTACCGCACACATACTTCCTGATTCTTCAATCTTTCTTTTTCGATAGATTTTTCTCAGTTCGACAGGGTTCAGAAATTTCTTCTATTCGTCCAGTCTTTGCCGGAGTGCCCCAAGATTCATTACTGGTTCCACTACTATATATTTGATACACTTACGACATACCTATGCTGACGACACAGCAATTCTCACAAAACATAAATTACAAGACTGGTACAAATCATGGAAAATTAGACTAAACTACGATAAATCGACATACATTACATTTACACTTCGAAGAAATACCTTCCCTCTAATCTTTACCGAAAAAAAACAAACAAATTCCTCAAACGGGCACTGTGCACTACCTTAGTCTAATCTTTGACAGAATGATGACATGTGGCCCGCATGTCAAAATGAAACGGAAGACCCTCGATAGAGGACTCAAACTACGTTACTCACATGTTTCCAAATCTTCAAAACTAGAAGTGAGACAGAAACTAAATGCATACCTATATTTATTATATAAACCAATATGGATTTATTCCTCACAGATATACGGTATAGCTAAAAAGACTCACTTACACAATATTCAAACTTTATAAACGATTTCACAATAATTTACACGGACATACGAAATACTAATCAGATAGATGGCTTCAGCTGACATGACCATCGTTATGAGGAGGAGACTAAAAAGGCGCTGGATGAGAGACCTCCTTCCTTGACGAACCATGGTAATTGATTCAAGCCAGGGAAGAGGTACTACTGGGTGCTATCCTTTCCCAGTTTCATTACTTTAATCAGACCATCTGCTGATTGTTAACAGTTATCGACAGGTGCAGATTAATATTCAAAGATTAATGTATATATAAATTAATTAATTAATAATATATTCATTATTTAAGTTTATGAAATAAAAATATTATTAAGTAATATGCTTTCTCAACAAGTCAAATAATATATTAAAGTAAACAGGACTAAAATATCAGGTCGCCAACTCTTGCGTATGCTTCTCCATAATACATTTGAACAATAAGTGGTATTAGGGTAACGTGTTTCTTCGTATAAATATTGTAATATTATCTTGAAAGTCTATTTAACATACATGATTGGTGAAACTGCACATACTTCATAATGGCTATGATATATGTATAGTATTAATTGATTTGTTATGCTCTACTACTATCCATTTAATATATAAACGACACGGAAGGCTAAAAATACTAAAAATAAATGAATTTATAAATGGGGACTATTTTTAACCTCTGGGATGGAGGAGAGAAGGTAGAATTCAAGAGGCTAGGATATTCGTGTAAAAAGCGATTTCGAAGAACCACAATCGGCTAAAAGTCAATTAATTATTATCTAAAATCTGGACACGCTCGGTCTAAAGACAGAACTGAAACTGTAGCTACTTTTCAGCCTTCGTATTTACAATAGCAATTTTAGGAATGGCGAATGACGCAATTATGAAGCATCTTTTTTATCTTTAAACAAAATTCGACTATTATCCTACGATATAAATATTATAGTTACAGAATAGTTTGGAAAGTTAATCAACTCTGAACTAAAAAATGTTTATCTTATCAACAATTTTACCTTAATAAGTCAAATTAAAACTGATACTTATAAAAAATAGAATTTATTAGTTGATACTTAATCTGACACAAATCATTATTTCTTTTGATATTTCTTTTCATTCAAACGAGACAGTCGACATTGATAAAGTTGACTTATTGAAGTAAAGTATTTTGATAAGCATCTTATTTTGAATTCTCATAAGAATAGACTTTGGTATATGTATTCAAATATTATTGTGTGCGAGTTTGTAATATATGTATGTATATATTCTCATTATTTTCTATCATGATTAAAAAAATATCGTCCCGGTATTTTGTATTTATTTTTATTTTTTATCTTCACTAATCCATACATGAAATATGAGCCTTTCAGTTGACAGAATGACTGACTCCAATTTCAAAATTTTATAGTAATGTCATTTTAGTGATATTTCTAGTTGGAAAATTTATAATATCTGTACAGAAAATGAGTAAGTTGATTCCAGAGTAGGTGATCGCATTGTTAAAAATATATAACTGTGCATAAAGGTATAGATTTTCTCACGAGAAATATCCCTCAATTTTTTTATTTTTTATTATTTATTTCTTTATTGAATAATATAACATTCCGTCACGTGGATAGTGGTTATAGGGAGGTGAGATTACGTCCACATTCTCACTAAAATTAGCAATCAAAAACGTAGAAATTGGAGTTTGTCATTCTGTCAACTGAAAGGCTCAGGCTCTATCTAATAAAAAAAGTATTTACTCTAGATACCGGTCATGCTTAAACAAAATATTATATTTGGCAGATAGCTGTAGCCTCAGAACAAATCGCACGACACAAATCAAATACGAATTTTTATAGCAATTGGAAGATTAAAATTTGTTGCACGAAAATTTTCCCTTTATTGACAAATTTATTGACAACCATAAAAACTGTGATAACTTCTGGACAACTCCACCGACTCATTCTAAAATTTGAGGGATTTCGGATTTTATATGCTACAATAAATGGTACAAACCCGACCTCTTTAAAAAAATTAGAACTAAAGATATAAATAAAAATGATTTAGAAGATTTTCTTTATTTACAATGCTGCTTAGAAAGGTTATTCTAACGATGAATTTAGAAAAAATCCTGAGACTTTATCAATACTTTAGTTAAACGGCCGAGAAAAAAGAAATTCCTCAAAAATAGTCTTGCAATTTTTGATTTTTATAATAATTCTTATTTAAGTTTTCATATAATTTATGATATATTATACCTTATTTAATAATAGTCATTTTTCTAAAATAA